GTAAGAACGCAAGATGACCTGGAGAGCAGCGCAGGGCAAAGTCACAAGAGCCCTCAGAAGAGAAAAATAATTGAACTATTTCAAAGATTAATATGAGATTAATTTAAACAATAGAACAAAAACCTGTCTGAGGCAAATTGGTATAGGCTGTATGCACAAACTGAAGGTAATTTTTGGCTTCTGCCTGTAAAAGTTGTCCTTGCAAAAAATAGTAATAAGTCAGTTAATAAATAGTGCTAAGTTAGAAAATTTATAATAATTAAATAGAAACATATACCAAGCTCAGCGGACATGTTAGAGCGGTAATACTTATGGAGCTCCAATATGATCCTCAAACAAACAAGTGCATTTTCTTCATTTTCTTTAGCAAGAAGTGACATTGTGAGCTTAAGAATAATTTCATAGTAAGGATGAAAAAATTCGTTATTAGGCAATCTGTTTATTATTTCCAAAAGGGTGAGCCTTAGTTTCTGTAGAAAACGAAATTATAAGGCCGATATAGATATGAAGAGGGGTACAAGAAACCTGACTGTCGCCAAGTTCAAAAACAGGTTCTTCAGTAGAAAGAATACGAACGAAATGGGGCAAAAGAGTCTGGAGAAACTGGCTATACTTTTTAGTATAAACTATTTCAATATTTTCTTTTATTTCAGTTGCTAGTATTAAGCGGGTGTCATCCTCTGGAGGAAGAGATAAACGTTAAACAGACAGCTAAGAAAAGGTAATATAAGTTTAACCGCGCAACTCAAGATGACCTTCTGAAACTATACATATACCTGGTTCACACACCATATAATCGTTTTCGTCACGCTATGAATATGTAAATTAGCGACAGATAAGGTGATAAACTTTTTTGAACGTACCTCATTTTCAGAGTTGCAAAAGAAAAAATAAATGGGAAAATAAGATTTTTTGGTGTGAATTGACTTAGAGTGAAACCAGCCTACATCTTCGCTACTCGACTCTTCACCCTTATACATTTCACAACATATCCATTGGGATTCATTCCGCCTTTTATACATAAGGTTAACTCTTCCCTTCCACACTGGATTTTGATAATTAATGAACAAACGACTACCTGGTAATATTAAAAATTAATAAAAAACAAATGCTCTTGCAAAGTTAACAACCATCAAGGCTAGGTTCAAATTCTCTTGCAATTTCTTCAAGACTATAAACATTAAAGGCTTTTTTAAAATGAAAAGTCATTATTTATTTATTTATGGAAATTCTCTTAGTCAAATAAAAAATCAAAAAATCTCATATCACATGAAAATCAGAAGTTTCTACAACTTTAACATCCACCCTAAACCCCTTTCTAACCAACCCTTTCATGCTGCTTTGACTTTTACCTTTCCACTCTAACGTCTTGTTACGTAAAAAGTAATATAATTTGTTGCCAGAAGCCTACGAATAGTGACTACAGGAAACTAGCTTTCTCAGTTTTCGCAAGTGTTGCATTTTTGTTCCGGCGCTTAATTTTTGAATTTCAATAGTTTAAATTATTTATCTTAACAGGTTTCTTTAGTATGCATAAAATTAATAATTATAACAAAAACCTAGTCAAAGTATTTACTATTGTTACATTACTCAAAATTATGCTACTATTAAGAAATTTTTCATTCAATAGATCCCCTTGGCAGAAGAAAGCTACTAGATGTTTAACGTCCCACTCATAATATATAATCAGTTGCTAAAAAATTATTATACTTATTATGGAAGCCGAATGACTTTAGCAACACAAACTCAAGGATATTTTACGAATATAACGTTTCTAGTTAAATAAGGACTAAACTTGGTAGGTAACCTTGCAACTACTTCCTTATTATTTTACCTTTATTTTTCATCGCATACATGAAGTTTTATAGATATCACCAAAAAGCTGGTCGCAGGTTCTTGTGCTAAATGTAAGGGCATCCATAATAGGCTAAAGACTCCGGCCTGAGGGTCACTAACATGGGGGTATAACAAGTTAAATACGTAAAATCGTCATACCGGTGATCGAGAGTGGTCGTCGTAGCTCAGCAGTTAAGAACATTTGACGCGCATACCCAAGGTCGAGGACCGGGTCCTTGACGGTCGCGCCTTAAATTTCGCCCTTATAACTTCCAATAGAAATTTCTTAAGATTACCTTTTATAGCTGGCAGCAACCACCTTGAATCTGAAAGGTTAAATATGTAAATCTTCATACCGGAATTGAGAACTGTATTTGTAGCTCAGCGGTTAAGAGCATTGAAGCATCTACTCAAGATCTTAGGTTCAATTCTCATCCACGCGACTCTCTTCAAGATCTTTAGTGGTTGTGTATATAACCTCGCCCACCTAAATTCTTAAATTGTTAACATGCATATAAAGTGTAGTTCCTTAGAAGTTAATCCCTTATTGAGCCCTTTCTACTGTACATTTACGCCTATTCGCCTCATGGATGTTTTATGTACCTGTTTTATTAAGAAGCAGTGAGCATTAAAAAATTATATATGATAGCTTATATAAGTAATGTAGATGCGTTTTAAGACCTCACAAAATGAACTTGAGTGTGGCGTAACTAGTTTATAATCTTAGCGCATCTTTAATCCCTTGGTTTAAATTTCGCAATGGAGAACTTTGTTTCTAGTAATTTTGGTTAAATGATAGAAATTGACACTTTTAGTGGTGTCAGGTTTTACTTACCTGACATAGTTGAGGATGGCATTTTTTTTGGAATTACAGTCGATATTATATTATTCCCTTGGTAACTTAAAAAACCTCAAGGAGTTTTCGATATGTTCCAATGAATTAAAAAAGCTCTATATGATCGTTAAGCTAACATAGTTTAATAGCTTTATGAAGCAGGAATGCACGACTTTACCGTATGACAAAATTTTTTAGAAAACCGAGTAAAACTTTATTAAATTGAAGCAAACTTAAAACAACGCGCTGTGAACAGCGGTTCCGCGTGCTCTATAGAGCATCTCTTAAGATAATTCCGAGAAATCTGAGTCATCCGTCCTATACTTTTCAGCCACTTGGGTTGGTCGAACCTTTATCAAAACTTGGTAATTTTTGGTTTTCTTATTAAAGACACCAAGAGGTTTTGTGTTTATAATTGCGTTTTGTTGTTTAAAGAAGCTACCAAATTTATTGTTTAAATGTTTATTACAGTATTTCAAGGGAATTGTAACATTTTACTCTTTTTTTTTTCGTAAAATTCGTTTTTATTCAGTAACATCAACTTCATACGAGTTACAATTAGTAGAGCCTATAGAAAATAGCATTTTTAGCTAGTTAAAAAGGTGATTCTCTTTACGTACATTTTAATAAGATGAGCTCCCAGTCTGGGTTTTTGTTAACTAGTACAGACAGTTGTTTCTTACGCTGACTTTTTAAAAAAATTACTCAGAGAACAAATCTAGCCACACTATTTATTCTGTCAGTAAGCTTATTCTAAAGCTTGAACACGTCAACTTGGTTGAGCTATTTGTTAACTTAATATTATAAAAAAAGTACGTTAAATAGTTACCGCCTCTATACAACAGATATTTCGTAGTAACTTATTTCGCCTAATATGCTATAACTAATCCACCCGAGCCTCTCCCACAATATTAGACCTCCTATTAATAGGCATGCTATTTCTTCAGCAAAATTCGTAATCATTTTTCTAAATACATTCGTCTACTTTGCGGGCCACACCACAAAATCTTCGATTTTATAGTGTTGTGAGGACTTATAATTCATGTCAAATGTTAAATTTTTTAAGTCCATTTTTATAAGGCAGAACATCTGTTAAAGGTGCCCTCCGTTTTCTGCAGCATGTTAGAAGATATACCTAACACTTTTTTAGCTTTTTAAGTTAATTTAAGCGGTGCAACTCTACCAATTAAGGGTAATTAGTCATATACATTCAATTTAAAGGTGTAGTGCCTTAATTCAGTTGTTAATAAACTCCACTTTGAGAAATTTTTACTGTTAAAATTTAGCCCGTTAATTAAAAGGTTATAGAAAAGAAAGTGAAAACCAGATGCTCTTTATGTTAATTTGCTTCGCAGTATAAAAGATAAAATACGTAAAATTATCACACCGAGATCGAGAGTTGTCGTTGTAGCTCAGCAGTTAAGATTATTAACGCGCATATTTCAAGGTTGTGGGCATGATTCTCACCGACGCGACTCTCTTCTTCCGGATTTGATGGTCGCGTATTTAACCTAGCCCTGATAAATTCTGATCCAGTACACTTGGAAGATAAAAATATTGAGGTGTTCCGAGTTTTCCACAGTAGTTGCTTGCGCGGGACAATTTCATCCTTAAATTTTAACCTATTTAACAGGCTTTTACATATTTTGTAACCATAGACTAAACCTGTCCTGTTTACTCTTTTGCATAGCACTCACTTTGATTAACCTTAATAAGTTAAAATTTTGATACTTATAGTTCTTGTTAAATGTTCTAGGTACTATCCCTACAAATATTCGTTTTTATTAAGATCTGCGTTTAAATAATATATTCTATTCTACCTACCAACCCTCTTACCTTCCTTGGTTGTTTAAAGCCGCCTTTTTAACATGCAAATAAAAAAAAAGGCCTCTCAATATCTCTTAGCAGATCATCACGAATTTAAAAAGATTTTTTCGTTAAAAAAAAACCTTAACCTTCACAAGACCGCTGTATACTATTAAGGAAAGATATGCAATATTAAAAAGTTATTAGTAGTAAATAATTAATAACTTTTTTTGGGGTGCAACCCACCATTTTTAAAGTAGACGCCAATTTATGAAGACAAATAGTTACTTGTAAATAAGTCAAGTCCTAACCAAAACTTACTTACTTTAAACAAAGTTGCGACAATACTTATCTTTAAATTAGCACAAAAAAATTAGGGCCATAACTCCGACATCGATGGTGAACGAAATTTAGTTATTTTACCAAATCCCCTTTTAAAAATTCTTTTCTCGACGATATATCTAAAGCTTACGCATAAGCTTAAATCTTACTTTTATAGAAATAGACAATTACTAACTGAGTATATTTCTATTTGTTTTATTTATATTGGCAGGTATGGTAAACGTTGCTATTAAATTAAAAACAGCACCACCGTGGTCTGAAGCGAGTAGGCGGTGTGACTTCCACAGCTGTATGGTAGTTTAAAAAAGTGCAATAACTATACAAAGAATTCATGATATAAGACGGAATCACTGCACCAAAAGAATTTTCTAAGGGTTTTTGCTTAACTTTGCTAATATCTTCGCTTAAAGTTTTAAATAATTTATCTATTTGAAGGCCTGTAAACGTTAAGCATATATTCACTTTAAATAGTAGTAAACTACAATATAATAAAAAAACCAGTTTTGCTAGAAGTTTCAAAAGGTTTTAAATTGTATAGTTTAGCAAACTCTTCCACATCCTCCATGGAAACAGCTCTAGCCGCGCTTTCCTCAAAAATTAAGTCACATTTAGTAGCAACGAGGTAGTTAATACAATCACTTTCACTAGTTTCTAATTCTTCAACCCAACGCTTTGCTTTCGAAAAACTAAGGGAATTTGTAATATCTAAAAGAAAAATTAGCAAACACTTAAGCTTATAGTAATAGTAAAAATTGCCATAGCAAATAAGAGCTGCGTTCGCATTCCTATAATAAAGCCTGCTCATCGACTCAAATCTCTCTGAGCCAGCAGTGTCCCACAATCCAAGAACATACTCTTTACTACCAACTTTCACTTTACGAGAAGCAAAAGAAACACCGACGGTTGACGGTTGGTTTCCCTATAAATTGATATATGGGTAGGAATGTGGACGTTTAAATGTTAATATTAGAAATAAATAAACATTAATTATAGAAAAATAAATATATAACAAAAATTAATGAAATATTTACTAACCAACCTCAAACCAACAGTCGTTTAAGTACCTTTGCAATAAAGAGGTCTTGCCGGAGCCGGAACTTCCAAGCAGTACTACTTTAAAACTTAATTCACTTCTCATTAAAATAATATTTAGTATTAGTCATAATATAGACTGAGGCCAAAAAAAGAAAGTTTAAAAAGTTACCAGTGAAGTGGTATGACCACAGGCATACGCTAAAAACAAATAATTTTAGTACTTAATTTGGAGTAGCATTGTATTACGCCTTCCCTGCACGGGTCTTTTCTCCATCATGAACGAACCTTTCTTAAGTAAAAATACTTCTAAAGTCGATCGTTACCCTGAGGAGGTATACTTCTTAATTAAATTATAAGCTTGCGAATTTTATTTAATCTAAAATTTTTTAAAATTTACCCTTGTTGTAACTCTAAGAACCTCTATGTTATTGTATAAACTTATTTTTAGTAAATTATTTTATTATACGTAGAATGAGCTCCACTTGTTGAAGTTCAAAAATAGACAACTTAGTTTTCGAATTTGCCAAAGGCGCCTTTCTTCTACTGTAATAGATACACTAATAATCAATTTGGAAAAAAGGCGACAAAATTTACAGAAAACCTTTAAAATATTTGATTTACAAGTAGTTAAAGTAATTTTCGGCTTTGTAAGTCCTTTGAAAAATTATTTTTTACTTTGATTTTTGTAAGATTGAAGGCTTCTTACAAAACTTCACTGAATCTCTTGAAGAGTTTAAGAATTACGAAGATGGTACCACTCTGTTAAAGAAGTGTTTCCCTGCGATATCAGGTTTTTTTACTTTTAAGAATATATGGTCTAAATTTATTTTAATAATCAGTTTTTACGCCTTTGAATTGCTAAAATTTTTTAGAGTTAACTGAAGAAAAAATATATAAAATTGGCACAAACAAATTACAGTTTTGTAGTTTCCGTGATTAGTTTTATCACTTTGTTTTACGGTCAACATTTTGGGATCTTCACTAAATTAGAAGGTTTACTTATATCAATTGAATTGAAAATATTATTTTAATGAAATTTTAACTTTAATTAATTACCTTGTAAGTTTTTTTAATGTTTTCTTATTGAAACTATTTTTATGAAAGGTGATCCCACTATTTATACAGCACAAGATTCAATTACTCGTTTGTCCACTTTATTTATAGATTTTCTTGAAAATTGTAATCAGGTTTTGATTTTTTTTAGCACACCATAGAATATTTTTTAACTTTTCACTTCCTCAGTATTGCTCAATTTACTTTTACTTTTTTATGTAGTTTTTATATATATAAATCACGTTTTGGACAGCAGTGAGCCTGCGGTTCGAGAAGTCTAAGAGCTTTGCAGCCCCTATAGGCTCTTATTACTTTTATAATAAAAAAAGTTATGCCTCTTCTATTATTAGAATAATAAGAAATTATATTAATCTTTTTTAGGAGAATCAAGTGAAAACTAATAATCTAAACTTATATTTAATTAAGCTAAAGAAAGATTGCTTTTATTTTTTTCTTGAACATATATATATATATATTTTTCTTTTTTGTCGCTTAATATATAATTTTATGAATAGTAAGAACGCTATTTTCTCTAAAAGTTAAAAGTTATATTTTTCTTATTTTCAGTGCCAATGCGACTAATAAAATAAATTTTTATTCTGGATTTTTAATATTTTTTTTGTTTACTGTTTTAAATATATTTTTATTTTCATTTGTGTGTGAACTTAATTTGTAGTAAGTTTGTTTTAGTTGCTTACTTTTACTTTTTTTTTTTAATTTTAATTAATTTACAGCAGTTGCATCTCTGATAAGAGTTTGATTTTATTAGAAAAAAGTAACTATTTATTTGTTACAGGTTAATTTTACAAGTTATAGATTTTATCATTTTTCATTTTTTGTTAAAGAACATCTCTTTTTGGTTTAAACTTTCTACTTTTTCTGGTTTGTTTCTCTCTACCTTTTTTTACTTTTTATGATTTTTTGGCCATAAACTTATATTTTGCTATATTTAAAATGTTTTATTATATAAATTTCTTTTTTACATCTTTGATAATTTAAATTGCGATTTATAGTTTTGGATTTTTAATACGATTTCAATAACCTCTGAATTTACTTCTGAATTTTTACGAACGGCGCTCGGTTTACTACAAAATGTATACCTTGTATAGTTAGAATATTTCTACATTTTTTTCATCTATATGTAACTTCAACTATATACTTCATGCATACCATAATTATATTTATTGAGGTTTATAGAAATATAGATTTGTTATATATAATTTTCTTTATTTATGATAATTATAACTTTATAACGATATCATTATTATCGCCTTTCTCTCAAATTTTCTTTTTTTGCAAAACTTGGTTAATACTTTTCGTACAAAATTTACTTTTTTTAGTTTAAATTCTAATCAGAGATCTTTCGACTATCAGAATTTTGTATAAAAATTATTAATTTGCATACTAAATATAAGAAGATTTATCTTTTACTGTTTTATTTCTTTTATAATGAGCTCTATAGTTTTTTATATTTAAGAAATGAGGAAACTGTAGTAACGGTAAGTATTTTTGTGGACCAGCGGAGATCCTTCCCATGCTTTTCCAGTTATACTTCCATATACATTTTAAGTTATACAGTTATACAGTTAAAACTTGGGAATATGTATAAAAATAATTTGTAATTATATTATTATACGAATGATAACTACAGAAATTATTTAGTTTTTATAAAATTAAAAATTCATTTTTAATAACATTTCAATAGACTAAAAAAGAACTCGAGGAATTTTTTCAGAATCTGGATTTATCTACTTTACAGAGTAAAAAAGAGATTAATAACTTTAAGGAAAGAAAAAGTTTAATTTCCTATGACGTTAAAGAAGAACTGCAGACTTATGATGGTTATACTCTTTTTTGAAGACAATGTTTAATATTTATATATATTCAAAGGAAATTGTATTCTATTAAATATAATATTATAGCAAACTTTGTCAAGGGCGTGTTAAAAATCAGTTATAGATAATAAAAATAGAATAAACGTTTTATTGTAAACTTTCCAATTTTTCAATGTGGAAGAATTTCAATTAGAGGCTACCTATCTACAGCTGTGGATTCTGCGAGTTCTACTAAAACTTCGGAAGAGTTTTTTCATTTAAAAATGGAAGAAGCTTATGAAAATATAGCAAAGTTTGAAGAAGAAGTGAGGGTACTCCAAACGGAGGTCTTTTATTTATATTTTCATATCATTATTGTTGCAGAAATTTTAATTTATTTTCAATGTTTATACAGATAGTCCTTTTTACTATGCTTTATATTTATTTTTATAAGTAATTCGTAGCTATATAAATTTTTTGTTTGTGATCATTATTATCTGTGGCTTTAAACTGGTCTCTATATAACACAAATCTAACTTGATTCCACGTTTTGTAGCGCATATATTGGGCGACTGCGCGTTTATAAAAAAAGTGCTCCTCCATAAGGCTATCTTACCTTTGTCCCTCAGAGTTTTTTTTTGAGTACTTGACACGTGGCTTTTAATGTAAAAACAGCTTATTGGTGTTTTAAGATGTATATAACACGGAATTCCCTGCAGTTCCTTGAACTTTAGTGCTATTTTTGTGAATATCATTTAAGCATGCGCGTGAAACTTGCATTCGGTGGTGAGAAAGGTTGCCGGTGCTGAGCCTTAATTGTTTTGACCAAAAAAAGCATCGCTCTATGGCGCAAACGAGCTCTCAATGAACCTTTTATTCTTATAAATTGCTGAATAAAACATTTTAAGTTTATTTTGTTTATAGAGTGTGCAGTTTAATTTTTTGAATCTGTATAATATTGTACTTTTATTGACCGGATACCGTATATATTCTGTATATAACACGTTTACTTTATTAATGACACTTTGTGCTATATAACTTGAAATGGGAGTATTGCACGTGCATAGCGAAGTGAAGGCTTACTTGCTTAGAGGCGCATGTGTGTAAGCAACCAATCGCGTGCCCTAACTTCCCCTGTTTTACTGATGTTTGCTGTCTTTTTTTTAAAATTTTTCGTAAATGCACGGGCTACATTTCTTTTTGTCTACAATTATTATTTTCATTATTAATTTATAAAAACTCGCACTTTTGACTGATTAACATTTTTTTTTCTATTAAGCCAAAAATAAGTTAGTTTTTTCCTTCGATTTTCTCATGCCTGTGCCATATATATAAAGTTAAGCACAGAAAAAGCGGAGTTGGAAGTCTCAATTCTTCGAAAAAATACAGTACCTGACAACCTTGTCTTCCAATCAAGATTTTATAAAAATTTGCAGAAGCAGGTTTATACCCTCCTTTTTTTTTATAGTACACAAATTCTCTATTACGCTCTGCACGCCCCTCATAGTCTTCTTATTGAAACCACGTGCTTCGTACTTTGAGTCTTACTATTCTATATATTATTACTCTTCAAAATCAAGGCCCGCTGGGTTCTAAGTGTGAAAATAAGTTAAGAAACAGGCAAATAGAATAAATTGCTGCTGATTCGTGGTGAAAAATAATTTTAGAATAGGCACAAAAGATCTACTTTAAAATATAAATAGTTTTCAACACGTGCTTCTCGACTACAGAATATTCTGATAACCGCCAAAAACCCTGCTATAAAAACCACTTATCTTCATAATTATTCTGGCGAGAATAGTAAAAAAAGTTCTTGTTTTCGATAGTATTGTTATTTAATATTTATGTGAATTTCTGATTGGTCTTCTTCACAGCGGTGGCTTTCTACTGACTAAACTCTGATGATACTGACTTAAAAAAATCCTAACGGTAGGGGTTACAAAATTTTGCGTGGAGAGCTAAAAATTTGAGTTTCTTGATATTTTCCTGGCGTAAAGCGCGTGCTTCTGCGCAGTTAATAGTTTGAAATGAGCTAATATAAAAAGAGTTTAACCATTATCCACTATAGTTTATTAATGGCGGTTTGCTATTTTATTCTGGCGGATGTATTTTATTCTATTATATATATGTTTTTTTAACTATCTTTAGGCTGCGGATTCGCAGATGATTCTGTTTAACGAGAACTTATTGGTCGATTCTCTATGGACTGAGCGTGAAAAGTGTCACCAGAATTACATATCATTGTTGGAAAAGTTCAACGTAATTAGTTATTGATAGTTTCTTTTCCCTTAAGGATTTTTATCGTCTTTCTATTAACACCGCAGTCATTCGATGAAGAGAATAATACTACTTGCAAAGAGACCATTTACCGCACAGAAGCGCAAATACTAGCCAATAAACGGGAAATAGAAAAAATAAAATGTGAAGTTGATCGACAGAAACACCAAAAGAACTTTAGTTTCGTGCATCAAGAGGTGCAACTGCTTCTTGAATCCTTGCAGGTTTTTTATGAAACTTCTTTTGGTACTAATATGTTGTGAAGTGAAGAAATGTATTTTCGTGATGTTTGTTGCCTTTTTTAAGACTCCGACCCGCACTTTGGTAAAAGACTTAATAATTGTTATACAACTACCAGCTCGAGTACTCTTATCTTTGCAAGGAAGCTCAGCGGCTGCGCGCGCTACATAGTGACAGTGAAGCCCATTCACCGGTTTTATATATAAAATCTACTTGTAGCCTTAAAGCGTTTTGCTTAGTTTTAATGGTTAATATTATCAGCTCCTAAAAAACGTGACTTCTACTACTTTGAAAGAAGACTTATTAGAAGCCTATCAAAAAAAGAATACTTCAGCCCTTCAAAGTATAATCCACTCAATTATTACTTTTAAAAAAAGTGTTGAAGAAGAAAGTGAAGTATATTATCATAAAAAAAAGTTTTTCTAACTTTTAATTTTTTTTTCCCGAGAATGAACAAAAGCTGATGAAAGATATGCAGAAAATCATTCAAGCGTATGAAGCATTGGGCCAACAAAGTAATCGTCTTTCTAGTAAACTTGCTGGAAACGAGAAAAGGAACAAAGATTTACTGGATAAGGAAAATTACTTTTTGTATTTCGTAGTATATTGGTTTCACTATTTTATTAAAATAGCATTTGAATTATCATAAACTTCGTCAAGCTGCGTTGGAGGAGAAAAAATCTGTACAGCACAAACTTGAAGCCCTTCAAGTGATTATTATTATTATTACTGTCGATGTTATGATTATTATTTTATATAGAAACGAAGTCGTCATCTTGACGAACAAAGCGCGACTTTATTAGAAAAGCAAAGACAAGTTGACTCTCAGACAGTTTACCTGGAAAATGATTTGTTTGAAAAAAAACAGATGCTGGAAAAATTAAAAAGTATTCGTATAATATTCATTTCTATATTTATGTTTTTATTAACACCACAAAGTAAAAACATTGGAGCATGCACAAACTTTTGATGAATGGACTTGTATATACTCCAACGCTTATGAGGACCACAAAAAGGTATTTTTTTCATTTTGCTTTTATTTTAATATAGAAAATTTTGAAAGCCGCGTGGAGTCTCTATTCCTATATCATTTTTCTTTTGCGCTTTATATACATATTTTATCGTAAAATAAAAAAACAAAGCATTTTAATGTTATATATCTATAAAACAATGGGATTATAGCTCCTTGAAGCATATGAAGCAAAAAAGATACTGCTAATGAAGCATCTTACTCTACGAAAAAAGCTGGAAGTTTCGTTTAACCATAATATTATAAAATATTGTTATATAAACTTATTTTTTATAAATAAACAGGAAGAAGAAAAAGTTCTCTCGAGTAAAGTAAGGCAGTACAAAAGCCCCCGCGGTGGCCGCCATAATGAGCTTGTGAAAGAGATCGAAGTTCACCAGCAATTTTTGAATTGCTCGCTTTGTAAACTTCGACGCAAAAATACGATCATCACAAAATGCTTCCATGTATTTTGTTCCGTTTGTTTAAAGGGGAGTGTTATTAATATTGGTCTGCAAACAGTAGAGTAGAATAATGTTAGTAAGTAGTATGAAAATTAGTAATATTGATATTATTCGATCACTTTTAAATTTATCATTTACAATGAATTATTAGTGGTATAAAATGAATTTAAAATTAATTTATCAAACAATTTTATACATTATAATAAACTTTGAAAACAATTAAGTAATATAAGAGAAGTATCTTGTCGTATTCATATAGGGAAGAAGTTTTACAAATAAGCGTTAATAGAAACATAGAGATAAAGTATTCGCGTAAGGAACTAATATTAATTAATTTTTTTTAAAAAAATTAACTTTAGGAAGACCGCTTAACTCAACTTTTATTGGATTTCTGCTTTTTAAAATTGATGTGCTACTCTTGCATAATTTAGGAGCGCTATGAAACTCGCCAGAGAAAATGCCCGATTTGTTTAGCTTCCTTTGGCCAAAACGATTTTCATCACTTTCGCTTATGCGAAGACTATTAAAGCTTTATAAAACATTTTGCTACGACTTCAAGATTTTACACGAGTGTGCCACTTACAGATAATTCACCACTTGTTGGTTTATTATTTCATGTAAGCATTTACTTTCACTTCGGATTTTTATGCGCTTCTTCGTTGTTAAAAAGGGCTTTGCTTTTCACTGCGTTAATATTAATATCTTCATCGACGATACGTAAATATGTAATACGAACTGGGTAGCCCTGCAGCTGCTGACACAGTAGAACAAGCGCGGAGTTAATTGTCGGTAAATAGAACGCGAAGCTTAAGGCTAAGTGTGATCCTTGGGGAACCCCCGCTCATTGTAATTGAGAAGTGACTGTACATCGCCTCCCGCGTGCTAAAACTGTGGCCTTTAAAAGACAAACACATCGAAGCAGGCACGAGGAAGAATAATTTTTCTCAGCATCGAGGAAAAGGACATATGTCTCCTAAAAAGATTGGGGACACGGGTCGTTCACACTGTCTTACCAGCTTACAGCATTAATTTTTAAAACTAATTTAACCTACGAAAAAAGGATTTTGATTAGTTTTTCGAATCCATTTATATATTGTGACGTAAAAAAAATTACTATAAAAGGTAATTTTTTAAAACCTTTAGTTAAAGAAAAGGCATTTGATTGGTGGCGGTACTAATTTTGGTTAATTCTTTGAATCCGTTCATATAGTAAAAATACCAAGAAGCTTTAAACTAAGCCCTCAAGATTTATTCTACTAATTATTATTACACATTTTTAAATTGATCCTTTTTATTTACTTTTATATTTTGTTTTATTTTAATATTCTCAGAAGGGGTTACTGCCTTGTTTAGTGTTGCTTCTAATTAGCAGTATAACGACTTCAGCTAGTTCGTCGCTTGCTGATAGCTATTTATTATTGATGTAGAAGATGGCCGTGGCACCTTCGGCAGCGTAACAACACCCGTCATCATACCTCGCAGCAGAAGATGGCCAGCTCAAACTTCCCTTCATATTTAGCGGGGAGCTCAATCTAATAAGCGGTTCTTTAGTAAGGGCAAGTGGCACGCCATGAACAGTGAGATGGTCAACAAAAAGTTAACTGTAATTTTTGTATCTTATGACAAACTACAGGTCTATCGCACCAAGAGATCTTAATAGGCCTGCAGTTAATTAAGGGCTTCTATGAAGCTCTTGGACGCCTTGGTCCCTCGAATGTGGCGTCGAGCCTCGCGGATAAGCGCTTTCTGTTCGTTAGGCGGGTAGCTAAAGTACTACTTAACCGGTTTAATAAGCCGTGACACAGTGCTTTCAAACTCGGTAACAGCAATATCTAGAAGGGCGACCGTCTTTAGTAGGACCTAAATTGGTGAGAGGATCATATATCGGGGAATTAATGAATTCGGCTAGTAAAGGTTTGAATGGATGTCTTGGGCGCCACCCTTCCTTTGCCAATCTTTGTAAGCTATAAAGCACTAAGGTTGTGGTATATAAGATGTAAAGTGTGACAGGAGGTATGACTTATCCAGTTAAATTGAAAAAATAGGTAAGAAGTCGTTTAGAGACCGAGCATCGACGGTAAGGTTGATTCTGACCTTCATGGAAAAACATTAGAAAAAAAATGTTATTTGTTGTTTGCCTTAATATTGTTTAACTAATGTAATATTCTATTTTTTAATAAAGTAAGAATTTGCTGCAAACTTGTTGATTAATGGGTAATATACATTGCTTTGATATGATAATTTTAATTGTTTTTTGTTTTTTTCATTTTTCATATATTTACATAATATTGTGCTAAAGATATATTCAATAAGGTATATATAAATTGTCGTGGCATTGAAACAAAGAAGGAAACTTGGATGGGCCAAAAAAAAGTTAGTTGGCTTAGAGACCACCACTACAATAGGAGAAAATAAGGTATAGTGAGAAAACAATTTTTCCTTTCTTTAGTAAATTAAGTTTGTCAATTAATTACTTTAACTGGTGAATAACAAAGTTAAAAGAATTTTTTAAAGGGGGTAAATGATTTGGTGTAAACTAAAAAAAAAAGGTGATATAGTATAGGTGCAAGAAAATTTGCCTTATTAAACGCCAAATTACAATAATTTTTAATAATTAATTTGTGTACAATATTTTCAATAATTGTGAGACAATATCTGTAAATAACTTTCTGTAAATCTATTTACATAGTCATGTATTTTGCATTTGTTGAAAAATCTTATTTATGATTAAAACATTTTCGAGTATTTCTTTTGATAGTCACGAAATTTTATGTTTTGTAAATTGTATTTTTACGTTTTACGTTTATGTATTTTTGTTAAGTGTTATAAACCACTGTTGCCTTACAAAATTTTTGTTAAAATACGAGGAAATCGGTAAAACGGTTTTCAAGATAATGCGTGATCTCACATAGCCCGGGACAAAAAGGGTTTGAAGGCAATTAAAGTTAGACTAGATCATCCACGAAATGTTCCACTTTACATAGGTATATATTTACTTAATCAAATAACGTGTGAACTGTATAGAATGTAAGGGAGAATATTTTAAAGAATAGTTATTCCAAAATTAATACTACTCAATAAATTTTTTTCTAAAAACTTTTTGAATGACCTAAACATAGAGCTTTTAAATATGTTACATACAGCCTTTGCAATTTAAGACTAATAGTAGGTGTTCTACAAGTTGATTAACTTGGAATAGCTGCCATTTTTAACCTATTATCATAAGAAAAGTCACAAAGCAACTAGGGCTGTTTTGTAAGAAAAGAAGCAGAAATGAACTAACTGAAACACGTCGTCTAAATTACTAAAACTTTTCTATAACAAATTAACTTTCTACAGTCATTCAACTGTACTTTTAAAAGTCTAAAACATTCTCCTAACTTTACCCTTTAAGGTAACACTAAAATAAATCCGTTAATGCAAGAGTTAGCATATGATTTTGTGATGGACTTACTTTGAGACACAATCTAATGTTTATGTTTTGTACACTGGTCAAAGCTCTAGTGATAACTAAATTCGACAAATGGTGTAAAACCACCATTACAGGGACCAGTACGATTTTAACATTAGGTTTAAGCACCTTAAATTTCTTTTTCTATCTATAGACCGCAGATTGCTAATAATCCCCACTGTTCTAAAAGTTTAGTAGTAACTATAATATTGATAGAATAGGTAAAAATAGAAAACACAATCTATGTATAATAAGTTTAATTCGTATAAGTATGGAACAAAAGAACACATCTCTTTCTAACAAAGGTCATATCTTGAAAAAAGCCTTTAATTCCTTCTTCTCATGTCCATTATCTAAGAAAAAAAAATCTAAAACTCTGAAAAGTCAATGTTCAAAATTGTTAGATCAGTTGGATTCCGATAGGTTCTAGATTTTTTTTTGTATTTCGTACTCTCGTAAAAAAATTTAACTAGGGTTGTGTCAGCCGACATTTACTTTCCTACTTTAAAACAGTTTATATTCGAAGATAACATTTTTCTGAAGAATTTGGGGTTATCCTGCCTATTGGTATGTAGACACACTAAGCGGTACTTTTTATATATGACTTAACTAACAAATATATTAGAAATTACTGGAATTTAACTATCTCGGAATAAGCTCTGTACATTTCTCAACTAAATTAGTAAATGAGGAAGTAAGTGCTGAGAAAGTCTCTCATTTACTAGACGAAAGGAGCCTCAGTGCTAATAATATCAGCACCCAACTATACCAAGACAAAAAATTTAACAACCACAGCTTCAGCAGTTCCGACCTACCTAGTTATTCTGCTGGATTGGATTATTGCCAAAAAAACGAATATAGTATTTCTAACAAATTATATGGCAGTGACAGTTCCAACTGTATAAACAAGGAAGAAGACAATATTGAGGTGAAAGATTTTATGAGCGCCATATTACCTTGCTTTACTGATACCGCGTTATCGGAAGAAACTAGACTTTTAATTTTAAAGGTTTGATCTTATACTTGGGCTATTTAACCTATTAAGTCAATATTTAAGTAAACATACCGCTTCCACCAGAACAAATATTCAAAGAAACTTATTACTAAGTCTACAAATAAAACTTGATAGTTGCTTAAACTGAAAAAATATAATACGGCATCTAGGCCAAAAGTGGGAAGCTTTTTTGATCAAACAATTCTGTGTGTGTTGTTAACCGGGTCCCAAGTGTTAAAATTTGAGTTTGCTGCTTTAAATGTCCTTTCTTTATAATATTATTAACTAACGCATAGATAGTTTTGGCTGCTGTGAATTCGAAAAAGTGCCATATTCACTCTGGTTAAATGTTATTAAAAGATTACTATTACTTCAATTAACTCTAAAATTCATATTAAGCAGATCACCTTATTTCTTTTTTCAGTGGATGCGTTGAACTTTATTTAAGAAGTAGTAGCTTTTGTGGTAAACTCTCTGCTGAAGCAACTTTGAAGCAGCTTTTGTTTGTTTTGCTTGAAAGAATAAACGCTGCCAGTTCTACTGGGATTACCGTATAATTTTTGTTCAGTACTTATTTTAGTAAATTTAAGTTTGCTATAAACCGAAGGGAGAAGAAGAGGCCGCCCCAGATGAGGAAGAGCATAATCACGTGGATGATATAGACCACTTAAGTAGTTCTACGCTGCCTTAAATTTTTAGTGAGGGTAGTAACACAGATCTTCCCCTAGGGTCGTGCTTCGAAAACATTTTTCAGGTCGATGGATATCTCATCTTTCAATATCTCTGTGAATTATCCATCGTAAACGTCCAGGGTAGCAAAAAACACTATGAGCGTACTTGCATTAATAATAATAAAGACTCGGTTTCACGATTAGACAACTCCGAAAAAAACACAACTTTAACGAAAAGGACCCTTGCTTTGGAATTACTGTTAATAATTCTGAAAAATGCGGGGGCAGGTTTCTAAACCTTCCTCATAGGTTTTTCTGTATTAATAGGTTTATCTTATAGCTTTCTTGCGGCATAAACATTTTATTGATGGCACAAAGCGTCTGTTGTGCGTTTCCCTTTCTCGCAATGTTATATCTTCCTCTTCAAGGCTTATTGAGCTTTCCTTAGCCTTGTTCTTGGTGCTCCTAAAATGGTTTTTTTGCTGCAACTTTATTATATGTTTGTAAACTGCGTTACTAGCGTTCAAATTTTGAAACGATATAGTAAAAGTCTTAATGCCATTGTTAGTTTATATAAAAACTTGGTTTCTACCTGATGTTCTTTAGGTTTAAATCAAGCCTTAAAGCTCAGATAGAAATTTTATTTAAAAACGTTCTTTTACTGCTATTGGAGTCTTCAACTTCCTCTGTAAGTTTTTGTAACCATTACCATAAATATGTTCTCCTCAGCGATAGCCACCCAGGCATTGTAAAACAACGCTACTAATTTGAGCAGCACCAGCGTTAGTTTTTTTATAGATGACAGGATATGGTATTAAGAATTCCGAGTGTATAATTTAATAAGCTTGTATTATAATTCACAAAATGTATGATGTTTTGCATCGAGCAAGAGCCCTTGAGAGGCTCGCAGTTTTTAGTTCTCTTTCCTTCCGATAATTATGTTACTATCATTAACAGTGTTAAAAAAAAAATTGCTAGCATTGGTAGTAACACTAACATTTCTTTAACAAAATAACATGGCTATCTAGCTGAATCACAAAATGGATGTCCTGCAGGCTATTTGGTACATTGTCTCGGACGCCCAAACTCTGCAGGATATATTTATTAACTACGATTGTGACATTTCAATGGATAATCTTTTCACCCACCTGATCGATGATCTCTCCAAGATTGCTAATAGCGGCAGTACTAACATTAAAGGTAATAGTAATATTAATAACAATTGCTTAGCTACTTGGTATCTTCCTTGTGTTGACGTTACTTAGTAGCAAGTGTTTTCCTTTTTTATAACTAATTAGTTAACCTAAACTATTAATGTATACTAAATGATAAAGGTAGCAACCTTTTAAAGTTACAACTACAGTGTTGATGTTGCTTCTAACTTTAGTTTCGATGAACATAATACTTCTATGTATAAAACTCAGCATTATAAGATAGTCAGCATGCACAGCTTCTTGACAAAGGCGAAGCCTAGATATTTGTTAAAGTTTTCACACCCTTGGCAAGCTTCATATTTCTCAGGGGTAAATGACCGCGAGGAAAGTGTACGAGTTAAGGCCCTTGAGTGTCTGGTAGGGGCCTTTTCTTCCACCAAGGATTGGCTGTATCAAATGGCCTCAAGAGAAGAAGCAAATATAAGAAATAGTTCTTATGAAAAAAGAGAAAGCGGACATAACACTAGTGTCGACTATGGTATTGCTTATAAAAGTTTCTCGTAGAATGCTTGGTTAAATTTTCTATAATATTTCAACTCTTCTTGCAACATGTTTTACCAAACCACTTGTCATATACTAGTGAATGAAGATCTTCCGGAGCTTTACACCAAAAAGAAAATTCGCAAAGACAATATCGAACGGGTAATTGGCCTCCCCTCAGCAACTTAGAATCTTTTTCACTTCTCAATCCCTCTCATGGCTCAGACTAGCAATATTATTTGTACTAATAATTGGGTTAAAAAAGTACTCCTCAATTTTTTAATGTAGATTATAAAAGTTTTTAACCGGAAGCCTAAATATGGCGTTGAACTCGCCCTTCAATCTAACTTATTAGAGGCGACAGAGAAAAGTGTCGCGCATTGGTTGCACACGGAAGCCAGGTGGAGGATGGTCCCCACCATGCTTAAATGTATATTGGTTACTTTAACGGTAGGTTAAGCAAAATAGCGATTGGCGAATACTTGGGCGAACATGACGAGTTTTCTCTTAACGTCATGCATAAGTATGGCAGTTTTAAACGTCTAATATATAATAAATTCCACGTGTCGATAGCAACTACTTTTTTTACCTTTTCGCAATTATATATTTAACCTCTCCTTTAATAGTTACATCGATCAACTAAATTTTCAAAATATGGGATTTGTGGATGCTTTGCGGTTTTTATTAAAGCATTTTAGGTGACTCAAAATTGCTGATAGCACGAGTAACAATAACATTACTCTCAATAGGCTGCCAGGCGAGGGACAAAAAATCGATCGCATTGTTGAAAAATTCGCCGGGAGGTTAGATTATTAACGAAATCTGCTATTTAGCCCCCCTCCCCCCTCTACCCTCCCCCTATGTGAGTACGAGCGCCCTCCATTATATCCTTTACTAAACTATTATTGCTTAATATAATATGACATTAGTCCTTAACACTTACAACACACACTTTTCTCCAATCCTCTACGTTATTTTGACTTTATTTTATGCTTAATGACTAATAAACTTTAGGTTCGTCACGTGCAATCCCAACCATGAATACTTTTCAAACGCTGACACAGCATATGTTATGGCGTACTCGACCATTATGCTCACGACAGATTTACACAGCCCGCGCATTAAAAATAAAATGTCAAAAGAGAGGTTTCTTTGTGGTTATAATCATCGCTATAGGCGGCTGATGATAATCTCTCTGATTGTCAAATCCCTTAGTTAAATTTAGAAAGCAAAAGTGTAGAAAGATTAAATAGTTTTGCAGAACTTTGAGTGTGCTAATATATATATACCAGTAAAGGATAAAAAATTATTTTTTTCTTTTTGATATACCCTTTCTCGTTAATATGCTGAATATAAAGAATTTTGTGAACAATAAATATTAAATATAAAATCTTGGTTCTCTTCAAAAGCTAACAATTCCTTTTTCGTAAAACTTTATAAAAAAGTACTGAAACGTATTTTACGTAATATTAAGTCAAGTTAAAAATAAAAATTTTATAGTTAAAAGTATCAAACTTTTTTAAAATTTTATTTTAAACTAACGGTAAGAGGTGAGACAGTTTAGATTTCAAAGTTCTAAGATATGCATCTGTTTTCGAGAGTGAAGCTTTAGATAATAATAAAAAATTATTGTAGCTACGTTTATCTCTCAGAGGCTTATAGCTTATCAAAAACTTCGCTTTTTTTTTTCAGTTTAAGTTTATTGTTTTTCGTCACTCAGTTTTATAAAAAACAACGCTGGAATTAACGAGGGAAAGGATCTTCCTGCTCACTTTCTTTCTGAAATTTTCGACAATATACAAGTAACCAATTTTTTTATAACAAATTTTTAAAATTTTTTAATTCATCGTAAATTTTCGCCATCGTAAAGGTTAAACCTCCTTTTTTTTAAAAAAGGATTATTTTTTAATAAATAATAATCTTTTTTATATGAAACCTCTAAATATTTTTTTTATTCGCCTTTAAGTTCATGTTATTTTAAAACCTCTATAAAAAGGCAGAAGAGATAAGAGTCAGTGATAACATGCCTGAACTTTTTTCTGGCGATTACCATGCACTTACTGAAAGGCAGAAAAAAGCCATGTTTTTAAAGCAAAGGTTAGATAATTAACAAAAAGCCTTTTATATAAACTTGTTGAACTCATAAAAGAAAGTAAATTAGTAAGCCAACACACAAATGCATCTAAATGTATTTATTATTTACTTTACCCACCCGTGACTGTGGTATTTTAGCGCCTTTATAGCCCTAATAGCTGAGGATTTGCTCTCTTCAACTAAAATAACCACAGCTTTTGTTCCGGCAAACAGTTATAGGTCTCGTTCTATCATACTTAGGCACACGCAGTATATAAGTCCTTCTCTCATAGCCATGTTAAATGTATGTTTGCTGTTGCGTTTGCTCCCTGTCTGGCCACGTTTAGTCTTCATCTCGAACGAACTTTTAGTGAAAAGGTGTACGCTTTATTATACTACAAAAAGCGAAACCCTAATTTTGGCTCTGACACGTGCACTTCAGACTATGAAAACTTGCTTGAGAGGTTTTCAGGACGCAATTATAATTCTTCTTTCTCCGGGTGCGCATTGTTATTAAATTGTTCTGCTAAAGATACTTATGATCAGTATATTCACATAGACTTCAAATCGAAAGAGATTCTTTTGTAAAAGCTTTGGCCACTTTTACCTCGTTATCAAATGGTTATTCTTTACCCTCAACATTGACGCGGAAAAACGTGCTCATAATCGCGCTTAATATCTTAGTAGTGCCGAGTTACTAAACTTTTCATGTCAAGCAGATACTCTGTCTAAAAACTCTGCTTCGTCTCTTTGTGGAATACGGCGATATTCTGTTGGAGTGTTGGAAGGATGTTTTTCGGTGCATATCCAATCTCGATAAAATTGATATTTGTTTGGATGTGCCTTTGAAAGTATCACCTTTTCTAACTTTTGAATGACTTAACCCGTCACTCTTTTTTGCTAAGGAACTTGCGGATCCTCACAAAGAGTTTACTAAAGAAACTATAAATATATCAAAATCTTTGCTGCGTTGTAGCTTTGAAAGTATATATTCAACATATATTATATAAGAACAAATTATTTTTCTGTGTTTATACCTAGTTAAGACCAGAACCACTTCGTTGAGCCACAGCTTTTTGAATGAAGGTTTTCTAAAAATAGATAAAAAATGTAATAATAATAGTAATAATAATATTAAATAACAGTACCGCTCGATCTCTCTGGCGACAGGAAAGAAGTTACTTTTACTAAGTCATCAAAGGACCATGAAGAATACTACGACGTCATGAGCTTGGCGAACGCCGTCGACAAAATATTTACTTTTAGCAAAGAGTTGCCTAGCAATTCCGTTGTAAACTTTGTCACGGCTCTTTGTGAAATATCTTTATCGGAGCTATCGGTAATAAACTTGTTTCAGTTATAATATTTAAAAGTTGTCCTTATAGTTATGTTTTAAAGTTTTTATATTATTTTTTAAATAAAGTAATTATTATATGATGTTGACCTGAAGGAGTCGCCTCCTCGAATGTTCATGCTGCAAAAAATTGTAGAGATATCTTACTATAACATGGAAAGGATACGCTTAGAATGGGTTCTAATATGGAAACGTCTTGGAGATTTTTTTTACAAAGTAATTGGGTTCAGTGGTTCTTCCTTCAATATTTACTGCCGCTTCTTTTTTTCGGAAAGGTTGGATGCATGAGCACTAACATAGCAACTTTTGCAGTGGACTCGCTTAGGCAACTCTCAATAAAGTACTTAGAAAGAATGGTTTGTTCTTTTTTGAAAAATTGTTCCATTTTCCATGTGTCAGTGTTTCCGCGTGCTCTTTGCTAACAGGAATTGGATAACTTCAATTTTCAGAAAGACTTTCTGAAGCCCTTCGAGTACATTATCTGTCACAATAAAAGTCCGGAAATTCAAGAGTTGGTTATCCACTGCTTGATGCATATATCACGTGCTCAGGAATTTTTTTGTCCCTTCATGTTATCTGTCGCTTGTAGCTATCGACTCGCTTTATCTTTAGACAAAGAACTTAAGGTCCGGATGGAAGAGCTTGTTTTATGCTCTTTCAGTACCAGCGAGATCAAACGTTATGGATTTTTTTATAATGGCCTCTTCTTAGTTCCCAAAGTTCGTCACATTTCCCCCTTTTTCATCCAGAATGTAGAGATTGTCCGTCTGGCGTTTGAGTCGGTGCACACACTGTTAGACGAATTCACTGATCACTTCATAGAACTCGCCACAGCAGACGTTGTCGCATGTTTAGTTCAATTTTCTTGTGTCTCTAGCTCGCCCGTGCTGTCCATGGAGGCTGTAGATCTCTTAAAAAAAGTATCCCTCACGCTTACCAGGAAGGGAGGCCTCCAAAAGTACTTTTTTTTTCACAAAAGCAGCAAGAAAGCTCGATCTTACTAATTTTTATAACCCGGAAGACTGTGGGCGAGTGGCTGGGTCCCCCTGCTCGTAGGGCTTCACCACATCATGATTCAATGTTCCTCTTTGGAAGTCCGCTCAAGGTGCACTCTTAACGAATCATTATGCACCTAAGAGTTCTTTATGTTGTACCAACAGGGCAATGACCGTTTTGCACGAGGTTTTAAACTCCCAAGGGCACCATTTATTAGAAGTTCATTGGTCAGAACTCTTTCAGATTATATGCAGATTATTTGACAACGAGCGCCTTCCTAATAACGCAATCGAAGTGATTTCAACGTTTATCTCGGTGTTTTGTATGCTTAGACTTCATTAACGTAAGCAGAGAGAAGAATGGTTAAAGACAACTTGTAATTTGTCCCTCTGTTGCGCGACTGAGTTGCTTATAAAGTTTTACAATCGCCTGCCAAAAGAAGTTCTACAAGAGTTTTACTGTGCGGTTAAGTGGTGTGCAACTGCAGGTTCATTTTTCTCAATTCACCGCATTAGCCAACCCGCATAAGGAAAAATAGATAACGAACATTTACTTCGAATGTCACTGGAAAATTTTGAAAACTTTGTGATTAGTAAAGGCAATAATTTTGACAAAAAGCAGTGGACCGCTACTTTAAAGACTCTTCATGAGCTTTTTAAAGTCACAACGCCCGTTGAACTTGTGACTCCCAGCACAGATACACGTTTCTTTAATACTTCTGTACAGTAATTGGAGAGTTTATTTTGTAATATTATTATAGAATCAATAAAGTCTTGCAAACAAATTGTAATATTAAAGTGCATGGCTCAAATAAAACTGCTTTCAGTGGTGGAAAACATATTATTTTGGAGTCATTTTCATTCCAACGAACCTGATGCACATGAAAGCACTTGTAAAGAAGTATACTTTTTCTTCAATACTCCCTTTTATATCTTCTAAAAAGCATTTTTATTATAAGTCGTACTTAATGCTTGACTTTGAGCAACTGGAAGAAGTAAAAGAATTTGTAGAAAATTGTTATCAAGTTGCCCATGTTTTTAACTGCAATCACTTGCGCAAGACTGAATTGTGGCAAAGTATTCGTTTTTCCTAAAATTTTTTTTTACTTATATTTTAACAGTTTTTACCATTACTATCAGTTGGTTTTACGAAACGCCTTCCTCATCTGCTCAAACAGGAGAGCAAGGCGCTCCATTTAATGTTAGGTGCAGAGGCTTACTTATCTTATATTTAAATTTTCTTCTAGTCATATTTTAAAAAACCTATATTCATTTGACGAGTGACCTCCTTTGAGGCCGCTATTATTGGCTTATTAATTTTTATTGAATTGTGTTATTAAAATTGACACTAGCAGTTTTTTATAATTTTTCATTCCCTTATTAGTTTTATTGCATTGTGCGTATGATAACACTGAAAACTACCAAGTTCGGGAAACCCTGGACACAAAGTAAGAGGAATGTGTAATTAAAGTAAAAGTGATTTATGGGATTTCTTAACCTCTAAAAGAATAATGGTTTTTGGAAATACACTTTTCACCTGCTTTTTAAGCGAAGAAAGCGAAAGAAACCGAGAACTTTGGGTGCCCCTGCTCACTTTTTTTTTAAGAAAACTTGTAGAAATGACAGCAGCGAGGGTATAATTTTAGTACTGAAGTTTCCAAGTTAAGCTCGGAATTTTTTTATTTAAAAGTTCGTCCGACACTTAAAACAGTATTACCAACACCTTTTAAAAATGATGGGTCGCGAATGCAAACTTGAAATTAGAACTTTGCTTTCAAATATTTTCGCAAAAATCTACGACGAAATGGTTTTCTTTACTCCACTTTTTTTTAGTCGCTATTGTATTTGCATTGTGTGTAGCTTTTTAATTATAGTGTAAGCAGATAGCCAAAGAAGAAAGCAAAATTTTACTAGAGCAAAAAAGCGTTCTTATAGCAGAAAAGCGTAAAGAATGCGATAAATCAATAAATCCTGAGGAAGCGTTTAGCTTTGTTGATCAATACGCTCTCCTTTTGGATCAACCTAACAAGGACAAAACTTCATGTAATGTTACTGCCCTACGTGATGAAAACAATAATATAAATGATAATTATTAAAAAGTTCTGTGCTGACAGTTTCTTATAAAATAACTATTCATAAAAGTTTTTTATTTCATATATATTCTTGAGTTAATATTTACGAACTGACTTGAAGTGAAAATGATATATTATCTTTTTGCTAATACCCTATAAGCTAGACCACATTAAAATTCTAAAATTCTGATAGTGGCAAACAAGATTTCACATAATCTATTGGATTAAATGCAATTTACCAATTTTTTTATTAACATCCAATTAATACACTTCTAGACTAATCTGAATATTTTGGATTTTTTTACATGTATCTATCTTAACGAAATAAACAGAGTAGTAATTAGTTGCTCTGGTTTAGGTGTTTCTCTTGTTTTTTTTTGTTTTTTTTTATTTGTTATTATTCTAATTTTAACTTTATAAATCTATAATTATATTAGTTTTTTATTTTCCTTAGTTTATTTGTGTCCCTTTCCGCTCTTAGTTTTTCGGGGCCAGTGTGCATCAGCCGCACGTGTACCAAAGATGCTGGCCTAAGATAAGACTCGACCCGTTAAAAAGAACAGGAAAGAGGGCTAAAGCGCGCAATGTCGTGAAGCAGCCCCCGGTGCCAAACTCAACCAAATGCTTTTTCCTTATCAAGAAAGAAGTTGCTTGTTGCCTTCTTTAGAATTGAATGCATGGGTCGGCCTTTTTGTCTTTGTGCCCTTGCCATAATTTAACAAGTCATGCTTGGCGCTAATAAACGCTTTCAGGTGGCGCAGTGTGGCGGTTCAGCTATTTTGCAAGATCTACAAGAGGCTGATAAACCTGTCTTTGTTTAGCTTAGCGTGTGGTAGCGGTGTCTTCGGGAGCATCATAATAGTAACCTTGGGTTCAGCATCACGTTCGTAAAGCCGTCGGGGGGCGGCGCCTATTGTCACAGTAGAGCTTTCATAAGCTCATTAACGGTAACGGTTAACTTAAGTCGCATTTTGGCATCAGGCGGTTTGTAAAACTATAAAAGCATTTCATTTATAGCCAAAGATACACACGGCACACACTGAGCAGCGAGGAGGCCAGGCAAACTATCACATTGGCTACGTCGTCTTCCCTCAAAAAGTTTCCATATTGTGGAAGGGTTAAAAAAAAAAGTTCGGGTTTCTGTAATGGGCGCCAACCTCGGAATGTGACTCTACTTCCTCTCCTACTGACGGTCGGTTGGGGTGTATAAACAATTTTTTAAGCGCTGCCTTAAGCGTTAAGTAGTCTGCAGGGGTTAGGACGCAGTGACCACTCGACCCCCGCAGTTGGGGGCCTTTAGTTAATGAAACAAAATTACCGTTTCCACAATATTTAAAACCATTCCCAGCATTTTTAAAAGTGTTATCATTGCCTGTGTTAGGTAATAATTATTATAAAACAACCTCTTGCAACTAATTTCTACATTGTAAATATTACTCTTTGTCTTCAGAGTCAGATGTAACACTAATGTATATACTCATTGGCACACAATTAACCTAATATCCCGAAATAATTACAAAAGGAAAGAACTTAAAAAATATATATATTAAACTTAATAACTATTTAGTTAAAGATAAATTTTTATCTCTCTGATGCAACTAATCAACAGAATATTTTACTTTTATCCTTGGTGTAATTTGTCAGCGACATAACAAAGAGTATATAACTGTTACATAAAGGCGCGCAAAAAATTGAACAAGATGAATAAAGAAAACTTCACTCTTGTAGAAAGAAAAGTTACAATTTTTCTAAAATTAATAATAAACTAATTGTAACCTATTTATAATGCAAAGTTATTTTTCTTCCTTATGCTAAGTTAAGGACCAATTACTGTGCAGATAATGAGTTTACTGAGCAACTTTTTTACAAACGCGTTACGAATTAGTAAACTCTAAGAGGGTAATCGCCTTTTAATAGAAATAAACATAAGTCATACTAAACTTATCCAACAATCAAAGTTCGAAGGGGTTACTCATAAAATAAAAAGGGCTTATGACATGCATGAATAGGCAGATTTTAAAAAAATTAATATATCCCTTCTCTTCTCAAAGCAATTGAAATAACGATTAAAAAAAGTAAGTTATTTTGGAAGTCAAAAGATTAGCGAAAGGAGAAAAAATGAAAGCAACTAATACAAATCTGTTTATTTCGTTCTTTACCACCATACTCGGAAGTCGTTTGTTAATTTCATAACTGTTAAAGATTTGACATCTAAGGAATATTGAATGTGTTTATTTAAAAAAAAAAGTGTTAAGGGGCGTATGAACCGCCACTAGGACAGGAATCACTTACTTGTTCTAAAAAGACGCACAACACTCCCTCCCCACGACGCGCTAAGAGCGCTTTATAATCAAAGTTATAACGTAAAGACACGTACATGCGGATATATATAATATTTATAGTCTACTTGTTTAGAAAAGCAGTCTGGGCCCAGGAATACCAACATGATAAAGCCATATTAACAAAGTTATTAAGCTTTCTTGTTTAAATGTATAACCTGTTGATCTATGGTTAAAGGCATTATTTTGTTTTTTATAAGGTTAATTAAATTGTCGATTCTTATCTTGCATGCTTCATTTCCTTTATATGAACCCCCCACTTACCAAGTAGCCGTTTACCTTAATATTAGGAAATCGGTTCTTCGCTATTACATACACCCTTTAACCGGTAGCTACATGCCCTAATAATGAATTGCTTATATTTGATTCTAGGTTCGCTTATTTTTCCATCACGCCAGAAGATAAATAGCACACCTTGAGAGGGGTAGGACATAACTAGTTAAGGTGACAAACCCTATTATAGGTAGTCCCCGTGTTCATATCCATATTTTATTGCTGTACTTGTAGTACCATGACTACTTTTAGCGACTGGAAAGACACAGCTGGGGAAGAGCTAGCACGAGTAACCTTATTTGTTTTGCTTAGCTTTCATTCCTTTTTTAAACATATTAAGTTAACCCTTAGATTTTTTTTATGTAGAGTTCCGTTTTAGCTAAAAGTACTGAGATCTTTCCCTCCGCGAATTTTGTTAGAGGCTATGATTTCTCTAAGGGCACAGATCTTGAGGCTATTATGCACAGTTATAAAACTGTTGGCTTCCAAGGGACCAATCTTGGTATCGCATTCGACATAGTGAATGAGATGGTTTCTATAATTCATACGTTACTAGTTCATTCATCTTACTGCTGTTTTTTTCCTTTGTTAACTACTGCACAAGATTAACTGGAGACCTCCGCAGGAGTCTGTTGCTGAAATTTCTCAGAAAACTGAAAAAATATTAAAATCTTGCCAAGAAATTAGGTGTACGATTTTTTTAGGTAAAGTTTTACCTCAAACGTTTATTAGTACTAAATTTTTATATTTTTAAGGTTATACTTCTAATTTAATATCATCCGGGATAAGGGAAAACATTTTGTTCTTAGTGAGGAACAAAATGGTATGAAGAAAAGAAGCATATATATAGAAGCGAATATTTTTGTTACGTGCGTGTTATTCATTTATAAAACAATATAGTTCTTTAAAGAAGTGCTATAATTAAAACATTTAAGACTCTTAGGAATACTAAAATTATATACGGTAGACCGAGCCACAACTAAGTCCTACACTCGTTTTCTGTAATGCAGGTGGACGTTTTGGTTACAACTGCAGGTGGAGTCGAGGAGGACTTGATTAAGTGTCTGGCACCCACCTATATTGGTGACTTCGACTTAAAAGGTTTCCCCACCCCTTCCCACCCCTTCCCCCCCAAATATTACTTGCTGGAAGTTCTGTCAGTTTTATCCCTACAGTAGTCGCACCTCTTATTTGGACAGTAGTCGTAGTGGGACTCTCAGTCCCCTTTAATTTTTAATTTCTTATTTTTATATTAAAGAAAAAATACCGTAAACACTTGGTGTTTATTGAGCTATTACGATACAGATCACACTAAACTTTAACTTATTTCTATTGAAAATTTAGAAAATAAAGTGACTTCCAGATCTGTGAGACCCCCTGCGACTACTGTAGGGTTAAAGAGGAAATTTTTTTCCTCCTTTGTGTTACTATTGAACGAAAAAAATACTTTATTAGAGTTGTATTGGACTTCACTTTTGATATTAGAGTTTTTTGTTGAAGGATCCACGTTTACTGCGGTCCTGTGACCTTAGTTTCAGTCTGCGAGATAAATATTGTTCCAGTTTTTGTCCTGTGCTCGCAACACTTGTGGTTGAGTTTTTCTTCTCACCATAAATATTGCTAACTCGTATTTTATCAAATTTTTTCTCGTTCCAAGTACTATTTATAGTGTTACACCGCTTTTTTTATTGTGTCCTGCTGATAGCTCATTTTTGCTTTGTAAATCCTCCTAGCAGAATTTAAAGTTTTTTATATATTTACTTTTTGCTTTTGAATTATTGTTCCTTTACTTTATGAGGTTGTCAACCAGGTTTATACCCTAGTATTTAAAACTTTTCACTAGGTGCCGAGTTACGAGAACAAGGCCTTAACCGAATAGGGAATCTACTTATACCCAATAGTAACTATATAAGCTTTGAAGCATGGCTCTGCCCTATTCTCGACGCTTTGGTGGAAGAGCAGAAGAGTTTAGGTACTCACTGGACACCGTCGAAAGGTTTGACCTCTTTATTGACTGTAGTTGACTCCAACTTTTGGTTAATTACACGAAGTTATTAAAAGACTTGGCAAGGAAATTAACAACGAAGATTCCATCTATTATTGGGCGTATAAAAATGATATTAATGTTTATTGCCCTGCCTTGACGGACGGGTCTATAGGCGACATGATATTCTTTCACTCTTTTAAACATCCTGGTTTGAGGCTAGACATCGTGGAAGGTTACTCTAGCCATCCCTCCTTACAGTTAGTTTATTTCGTGAGCTGCTATAATGCTTTATAGATCTACGACAACTCAACTTTGAGGCACTGAGAGCCGCACGATCGGGCTTGATCATTCTGGGTGGTGGCTTGGTTAAGCACCACATTTGTAATGCCAACTTAATGCGCAACGGAGCTGATTATGCCGTTTTTATCAACACCGGGCAGGAGTACGACGGCAGTGACGCCGGTGCCCGACCCGATGAGGCTGTTTCTTGGGGAAAGTTGGCCTTGCAGGCTCGGTCGGTTAAGGTCTTCAATTTTTTTTTTCACCAGCGGTTATTTTTCTACTGGAACCTACAGGTATTTGCTGATGCCACTATTGTTTTTCCGCTTCTCGTTTCACAGACTTTCGCTAAAAGTTTCGTGCCCAAATAAAAATCTCTTTATAAAGTTTGATTACACTAGAAACTTTAAAAAACTCAAAATTATGGTTATGGGATGCTTTTTTTGCCAAGTACTCAGATAATCATAGTAAGTGGAAAGTGGGTACTAAGTTCTTGGTAAGCTATTTTCGAGTGGATCATTATAACCTAAGCGTACAGGCGGTTATAGGGTATATTGTTATCATCGGTTTTTATTTCGTTATATGTATATTGGTTTGACTAGTAACGTGCGGGCCCTTTTACATATAGTTGCCTGAAAGCTTCGTCATCCTTTAGAGGCGGCTTAATTTTAAAGTAACTTTATATTCTATATTAAGGGCGTAGTTTTATGTTTGTGAATGCGACCGGTGACTTTATAGTGAACTTTTAACTTTGGTAGAGTAAGCCCACCACCACCGATGACCGGTTTTTTTGAAGTTATACCCACTTAAAGAAGTTAGCACCAACTCGTTTTGTCAACAAAGGTGATCCTAACGTGCTCTATTTAGCTGTCATCAAAAACATCCCCTAGACTATTCTATTACCATTTTATCACGCTCTGTCAACGATCACAACCCCGATGTTCTAGAATTCCTCAATATATTCCGTTGTAAAATAATATAGATACTGTGAATGGAAATGTTAAAAGTCGGATTATTGCTAAAAAAAGCAGAGAGTTAAAGTTTAAGCAATTTCCTTATATTAAAGGTCACTCCTGAATTTTATTACTTGTCAAACAAGGATGGAAAAAGTGTAAATACTATAAAACCAGAAAATCTCAAAAAAAATTTACTTTTCAAGCGGACAACGAAGCATTTAACTCCTATTATAGCAATCTTTAGGGAAAAAAACTAGCGAAAACCACGCCAATGAACGGCAAGGGCTTGCTGTCACAATAAATAATAGTATAATACGTAACAACCCTACAGTAGTCGCGCCTCTCATTTAGGCAGTAGCAGTCACGGTTATTCTCACAGACCCCTTGAGTTTTAGATTCTTTACTTTTATGATAAATAGAAAATAACTTTAATTTTTTGAACATTTTTTTTTTGTTTATTGAGATATTAGGATCCAGGTCACACTAAATTTTAACTTCTTTCTATTTTGAAAATTTTGAAAACAATCAGAATGCAAAGAATGCATCTCCCGACATAGTCTAACATTTTTAATTTTTTTTTCAAATATTATATATTCAACGCCATATATACTGCTGAAAAAATAAAAAAAAGAAAGTTTACTTAATGTAAAAAATAAAATTATCTAAACGGATTGTTTAGAGGCGATCTCACCCGCCTAAATATTACCTATTTTTCCGCAACAACCGTTACAAATATCAAAGGAATGTTCTTAACACATGTATATTTTACATTTTGAGCAATAATATTTGTTTTTTACTTTTTACCCTTACACTTAGAGCAGTTTCCTCTATGACTGTCTCTTTCTTGAATCTCTTCCGGCTTTTGAATACCTAAATTTTCATTTGTTCTAACAGTCATGTTTCGCGAATAATTTTGTTTATTGCACACACCCTAAAATGTTCGTTAATAAGTGCAAATATAGATTTTCCAAAAATTTTCTATGGTTAGCGTTTCCTTCATATATAACTTGAGAATTTATGCCAACCACCTTCAGCATACTGAAGAATACTACCATTGGCCACCGCCTTGTGTTGCGGTAATATGATTTGTCGATCATAGCTACACCTCCTTTGGTATGACTGTAGCTTGTAATTATCTCAGGTTCCTTTTTTCTCCGGTATTCTTGTGAATGCTGTCAGTTTCATGCAAACTTAGTAATAAAGCACAACCTTGCCTTTTTGGGGGATGTACGAAACTAGTGTGGATTTATTTCGGAATCCAAACATACTTGAAAACGGTGGATTACCATTGAGAAATAGCGGATGTATTTCCTGTTTATTCTCTCCAATGGTACCCAGAATAGTTAGTCGGTGATTGGAAACATGACATCAACTAATTTAAAATTGATAAACCAATTATCCATTATAATGTTTCTTCCGGTGGTCCACACTGGTTCAATAAATCGATCGACAATACTAGCAGCATCATTATTTACTTTGCATGTCCTCCCCCTTGTTGAATTCCGGCGTATACCGCCATATTCTTAGTATAGTACATTTCCCCATCTGCCAAAGCAAAATTTTTGACACATTTATTTGGTTTATTTGGTATAAATTGTTTGAAACTGCTATGTTCCCTATAAGTCTCCAATTTTTCATCTATTGTCAAATACTCGGATGGCACATAGGAATTTTTACAGTTTCGACAAATAATCAAAAATTTACCGTACTGGTGCCTATCTGTAGTTTTCCTTTCAGCTCGGGTGTCTCTATCATCAAATCGTATGTACCTCATTGGAGTACGGGATCTCACAATAGACAAAGTAAGTTTGAATATCTCTATCCCTGTACCATTAGTAGCCTATAGTTGCTCAAAGATCAGCCTACCACTCTTGGTAATACCAGCGAGATACAATAAGCCAGGAGGAGCCAATATTTTCGCTTCGACTAGAGCATCTCTCTCCCGAGAAAAATTTAATAACCTTGACGAATTAAATTTATTGGTATTTTCAATAATTACGTCAATAATTTCAACAAAAAAATATTTCCATCAATCTATAGAAGTATTTTTTCCTTTAGATCAAGTAGTTACCCCGAGGAAATGAATTACTATCTTTTGTTCTTGTTCTAAAGTTTTTTGGTGGAGCCATTTATGCCACTTGGTATGCCCGTCTTTCTCCAAATACCCTGGGTGGTCCAGCGTCTACTCCTTCATTTTCGTTATCTGATAACTCTTCTTCTGTCAGATTCTTGAGCTCGACATTTCATAACTGGCGATATCTTCGTCTGTGTACCCTCATCATTAAGTAGCTCTTCGTCTATCTGAATTTTATCATGCAAAAGTAAAAGACGAGCTTGTTCTCTTCATATCTCCATTATAGTTTTCTACAGGAAAAAAATTGAGAGTTGCAAAAAAAAAAACGTTCTACATTCTTACCTCATTAACTAATACCAAAAATAAAATAATGGTTACACAATAACACCGTTAGTAGTCGCAGGGGGTCTCTCAGACTTACAGTTCTGCTAATGCCCGAAATAACATACATAAACTGATGCGAATTGGTGCCAGCCTAAGAGAGTACTTTATCGGAAGGGGTTTAGACGGTTGAGCGTAAAAACCATTGATTCTTGAGACATACCTGATTTTTAAATTTCCAGATCTGTGAGACCCCTTGTGGACTATGTAAGGTTAACAAAAGATCCATCACCCTGTCATTCCCCGGTGACCATCGAGGGTGTAAATAGTCAATATTGTAGAGCCTGACAATAATAAGGCTTCAGTCCGGTTTAAAAAAAAATTAAAAAAGATTTTCTGTAGGGATAGAAGTTTTGAACTCTTTGACCATTTGTTGCAGTCATGCTCGTTCCCAAATATCACTCGCTCTATATATAGCTGACACCAGGCCAATTAGTTAGCTAGCTTCAGGGGAAAAAGTATTATTCGGCTTGATATAACTAAACAAAAAATTCCGGATTTAAAAAAATTCTTTTACAATATTTCAGCTCCTCCGTATTGTTAATTGTGCTCTATTAAATATTATTATACGAAGCTAGATGTTATAAAGGCTTTCGACAAGATGTGGCTTTGAAGTTGGGAGTTCTTTCGCTTACCCTGTGCACTAAAACCAAGAAAACCGCCCTTTTCTTTAAGGAGTAATATTTACATTTTAAGCTATCTTATATGAATTTAATAGTACGCTATTAAATTTGATACTATTACCCTTTTCTCTTAAACATTTTAATGACCTAAACTTAAGATAGTAAATTTAAAGACTTGGGCTATAAACCAAAAGACTTATTTTCAGATTGGCGCAACATATGATTACTGGTTTTGAATCTTTCTGAATATGATTTTCAGTCACATAACTACTATAGAGCTTAATTTTAACTTACTTATTTTAGCAATCTTAATTTTTTTTTAAGTCCAAAAAGTAAGTTTTCGAATCTGTCAAATTATGTCTGTATTTAATCATAAATATATAACCAGTAATTAAAGTGGTAGAATTTAGTTTTAAAATTCATAGTCTCTTTTTTCATATTTACAAATAGCGAGGGATATAACGTCCTCGTTTAAGCGCAGTTTGTTATAAACCTTAACTTTATCAGCATTTCTAGTTAAACTAAATTAAATATTAAATTGTCAAAAGTGAGTAAAAATTAAATTGTCAAAAATGAGAAATAACAGATTTTCTACTTTAAAATTAGAAAGCTTATTAGTTCTTTTTAAACAGCTTGCGAAATTATTTTGGGGAGTTTACTATATGGGCTGTAATATGCACTATCTTTGGGTGAAATAAAATATACCCGTGTCTGTCTTAGGTCAAAAATTGAAATATAACTATGCTTTAAAATTTAAAAAACGATAGAGATTTAGTGAGAATGATTGATACAGTATGACACCTTTTTCTTCTCTATTAACTCTTTAGGACAAAAGTTTTCTTGGTTGAACTAAAAAAAAAATACTATTTGGCTTATATGAAATTTAATTACTAGAAAATAAGTATAGATTTTAAGACTATTTATTGCCATTGAATAGATTTTTTCTTAGGAGAAAGTTATAAGGTATTTTGTTGAAATTTATCACTTTTACTTTGTTATCGGAGGATTAAAAATTTTAAAATGTTTAGGAAATCTTTCCGCTAGTTTTAATAAGGTTATAATATTTTTTTTTGCAATATTCGTCTAACCAAGTAAGTATTAGTAACTATACTTCGTGCAAAAGAGCTAATTCTAAACTTGAACTAAACCCTTGCCGCTCGTACAGTAACAAACCTATTTTTATGCATAGCCTTAAATTTGTGCAAGTAAGTCCTATATATTGCAAGACTGCGAAGGTACTCTGAATTGATTGTTGTTTATCCTGTTCTGGCATTTGCGTTCAATACAGGAAACCTTAACACCCTCAATACTACCTTAACGACTGCTGGAATTCACTTTCTGCTGCTCCGAGGTTTGCTGCGTAATAAACCAGAGGGACTCCACGCCAGTACAAGTTCAGTTGGTAAACTAGCTAAGTATAGAGCTTTTTTCTGGGGAAGAAATAAAATTGTCTCTTGAAGGCTTAAAAAACATATATTTTCCTTTCTATAAATATTGACAATTTAGTAGTATTTAAAAAGTTTACATAAAAGTTATGGCTATACAACAACTTACAAAAGAGTTTAAAGAGTTGAAAATTAATCCACCAGAAGGATTTAACGTCGAGGTAAGCTTTAAATTCTTTTTAACTTGTAATCCTTAAGTATATAATCTTTAAGTTTTTTACACACTTAAAAAAAAGTTAATAATCTAAATTTTTGGGTTAAATAGGCCATTAATTATATAAAAGTACTTAAAATCAAAATTAGTCGTTTAAGTATTTATTGAAATTCTAAAGCTAGTAGATGACGATGTTTTTGTTTGGGAAGTTGGAATATTTGGGACACCTGAGACGATCTATGAAGGTGCTTACTTAAAGGTTAAGTTATTTGAGATTTTATTTGGTTCTGTTTATAAAAAAATACTTTAGGCTATCTTGCATTTCCCAAGTAACTATCCTTTTTCTCCATTTAAAATGACGTTTATTACCGAGATGTGGCATCCAAACGTCTTTGAAGATGGAAAAGTCTGTATTTCAATACTTCATCCACCTGGCGAAGACCCTTTAAACACATTTGAGCGACCAGAAGAAAGATGGAGCCCGGCTCAGACGGTGTCGTACGTTTATTATTCTTAAATACCTAATACCAACAACTTTTGATACCGTGAATTAAATTATTATTTTTGTGCTCCTATATTAATAAATTAGAAATGTGGTTATGAGTGTTGTCTCGATGCTTAACGAGCCTGAAACACGTTCACCAGCCAATATAGCTGCTTCTGTGATGTATCAGAGGAACAAAGAAGAATATAATAAGAAGGTGCGAGAACTTGTTCAGCGGAGCCGAGAGGCAGCCCTCAGGTACAACAGTCTTGGCGCCGCTACTTATAACTGTTAAAAAGTTGTTTAGTGAAAACATTGAAATACCCACGACAGTGGAAGCATACACAGCGCGCTCTGTAAGGGCTAGACAAAAGTCTCAACTTTTGCACGCCCGTATGCATGAAGAAGACGACTTCTTTAGCTTTTCAGAGACTGGAGATAGCACGAGTAGTGAATGCGGATATTCTGAAGAAGGCAGCATATACTAACTTGGACATTTAAGATGCTTTTTTGTAAGCCAAGTATAAAGGCTGTCACTCTTTATTTTGACTCTCTTCGATCTGCCTGGCAATCTCAACAAGAGTTTCTTCGTCTCCCTTCTTACCTATGACTTGTATTCCTATGGGTTTCCTTTTGTCATCAGTCCCAGCGGGAACGCTTATGCAAGGAAGCCCTGTTTATCATGTAAAGAGGTTGTGAGTATCTAAAAAATGGTGGTAAGTAGGGCAAAACATAAGTTTACCAGCTAGACTCGCCGGAACAGTAAGCACATCGTTGCAAAAACTATAAACACTTTCACTAGAGCGCCACTCCTCCAAGGTGGGAGCAGTTGAAAACGCCGTTGGACCTACTAAAACGTCCACTTCTTGAAATGCTGCATTTAGCTCGTTTCTAACGACTTGCTGTATCTGCCGAGCTTTAAAATAGTAGCTCTGATATGTCCTTGGTAAGAAATTAAAAGCAGTGCGACCAACTCAATAGGATATAAAGATACTCTCGCAAGAGGCAAAAGGTCCCAGCCAAGATTCTTTGGCGAGGAACAGAGCCAAGTCCTTCATGTCTTGTCTTGTGGTAAGGATACTGTTGGTGCGAGCAACATCCTATAGAAACTAAGTATTAAACTGTGTGATCGAAATTTGCAGGGGCGCACCGTACTGAATTCCCGAGTACCGAGCCAAGTTAGAGGAAGCCTCGGTGAGTGCCAACACATAGTAGGCTGCCAGTGAGTATTTTATCGTTGGGATGGAAACAACTTTACACGTAAACCCCTTATCTTGTAAGTATCGGACAACTGACTGCCAACATGCCAGCACATCTTTACTAAGTTCTGATATTCTGAACTCCTTGTTATTAGCAAGTTAGACGTTATTAAGCGTTCAAAACAGAACACGAAACCTTCGGAATGCCTATTTTTATGTCTCGCGACGCATTCCTACGGTTTGAGTGCTCTTCACTTATGGCCAACGTCGAATAATCCTCAACGTCACTTCCTCTAATTACCTCTGTAAGTAAAGACTAAAAAGTAAAAAGGGATAACGCAGCAGCGGCAGACAAAACCACCGTACCGTACACACAGACGGCGTCTGCAACGCTTTTCGCGATAACGCTAGGGCAGTCCAACGAGGAGCAGTAGGCCACTAGTCCATAGCGAGAGACCCTCCCATAGGAAGGCTTGAAGCCAACTAACCCGCAGTAGCTGGCGGGGAGCCTAGCGGATCCTCCAGTATCACTGGCCACTGCTCTAGTTAGGTTGTCATGCACGCTTATAAGTAATACCACTGTAAAGTACGCGAAACAAAATCCGTGAGTTATAGCACTAGCGCAACCAGAGGAGCTTCCACCAGCAAGTAATTTCTCTAGAATTAACAAGTATTAAGTAAAAAACTACAAGGAAATGCGCCAAAGTTGTGACCATTTTGTGACCTTTGAAAAGATGGGCCATAATAACTATTTACTCCTCCAGAGCTTTCAAAGAAAAAAAAGCGCAAGGTATTAAAAAATGTAATATTATTTTGAAGGATTGGTAGAACCCCATTCCAAACTCATCCATGTTAGCTTTGCCTACGATTATAGCCCCTGCTTGAAGTAGTTTTTTAACAACCGTGGAGTGGTAAGGAGGGACGAAGTCTAGTAAGCAAATATTATATATACAGTAATAATAAATGATACGATAAAAAAGACCTTGTAAGAACTTAGAACCCGCTGTCGTGGGAATGCCTTTAGTAATAAAGTTATCTTTAATGACAATGGGAATTCCGTCCAGAGTGCATCGGCGTTTCCCTAAAAGTCCTATATTAGCCATATAAAATTCAAATACTAAGAATGATAGCCTTGAAAAATCCTGTCATCGCTTTCGGCCGCCTGCTTCAAAGCTAGCTTAGTAGTAACGGTGATAAGAGCTTTACATCTTTGATTGAACAGGGCAATTGAACGAAGACAGGATTTGGTAAGATCAAGGGAATTCACCTCTTTTCTATATAGTTTATCGCTCACCTATCATCGATAAATGTTTTAAATCACGTCAAGCTACTTAAGTTACCGTATAGACTTCCATATAGAAACCTCACTAATAGACAGTTTTTGGTAATTGCTCAAATCCTTTTTTATAAAGAAACTAAAGTATTTAGAACACTTGCGATGAATATAAGTTTGTTGATTTAACATAATTAATTAGTATTTAAAGTTATTTGATTCGTTTAAGGAGAAAAGCCAATGCACCCACAACTACTTTGCAAGGCTTTTGGGGGAATGCAGCCTTCTGTTGCAAATGGTTGGTTACTTTGGTTGAGTATTAAGATGGCGTTTTGTATTGATTGAAGACTTTAAATGGCGTTTTTAATACAACTCACGCAGTATTATTTTATTAAATTGAAACATTATATTTTTTAATAATGATAAATCTCTATGTCTATTTATCATTGTGCAAGGTGGATGGCTATCCAAAACATCTTTATATTTTTCCTCGAAAATTTGTTGAGTCAATTTTACTTGAAACGATGCTTGCGCTTCGAAAAAGGTGTTTTTTTAGACTACGAATGAGATGAAGTGGTGGATGAGAAAGTATATATTTGTAATGGGCTGCCTAACGCAATAGGATTACCCCTCATTTTTTATTGCTTTTTAGAAGTTGTGTAAATTACTTTCTATCTTAAAATAGTGTAAGTTTACCGATGTCTTAAAATTACTTGCGCTAATGATTCAAGTCTTTAAAAAGCTAAAGCAATCAAAGTAGATAAATTAGCTTACTATGAAAATAAAAATAAAACTTCTAATAAAAAACTGACTGGGTTCAGCGGTAGAGAAGCACTCTACTTTTGAAAAAGAATTAACGATTTAAGTTGTTACAAAACATTTCTGAACACTCAAAGATCAGTTGAGGAAGTTCTAGAAATTAAGCTTAATGTATGCAAACTTAGAAACTGAATAATAATTGGTGTTAGCGAGATCTTTAATAATAGGTTTGATTTTAATAAGTGGAAGATAGTATTACAAATTTGTTATTGCTGTGATTAGAATAGAACTGGATGCTTTAACAGTAAAATTAGCTTCCCTGGAGAAAGTAAGTTGCGATAAAGCAATTTACAATATTAACAATTCGATATTCATCCCCTCTTCACCCTTAGCTTTTGTTTGAATAAGGGGGAGGTTATTGAAGATAGCGTTATGCTGGATACTACTGCAGAGTTTACAGATGGAAGCATTAACAATAGCAACAACAACACTAGCTTTAATAATAGTCGTGACCACTATAAACAATTTCCACCTTAAAATCTACGAATAACAGTAGTGTTAGACAGTGGGTAAAAATGTTAACACCAGTAACGGGGTTTTTGACAAAAAGAAAACCACCATTTCTAGCGAGCGATAGCAAGTTTAAAAAAAAATTAATGGTAATAATAATGTTAGTCGTGATAAATAATAATATTTACATATTTATAAATCTACTAATAATACAAAAACTAATAATAACGGTAATTATAGTAATAATAATAATTATATTTACTCCCAAAGCGACCAGCCTAACTCTGTTAGAATACCTCCCATCAAAATTTGTTAGAACTAGTCTGGGAATTTTCAATAAACAAATTATTGACAAAAAAAGTAGATATAATAAGCACCAAAGACCTATGACTCGAATCCCTGTGAATGATTACTGGAAACTAGTAAAGTTTTAGGCGAAAACACCCTGGAATATAATACATACCAGCTGCCTAGCTAGAAAGAGCTTAGAGTGGTCATTTCTTAAAAGTACAACCGTCTTAATTAATTAGAATGCGTTATTAAAAAAAAGGAAGACAATAACTGTCTCTCCCCCTTGTCAAAGTTAACAGGTTAAAAGGTTAAATATGGAAACCATCACGGGGATCGTCGTAGCTCATCGGTTAAGAACATTGACGCGCATACTCGAGGTCGTGGATTCCCCACCGATACTCTTTTTTTCGGTCTTCGGAGGTCTCGTATTTAACCTCACCCTCATAATTTCTGATAAAATTTTCTAAAGCGAACCAAAGATCTTTAGTCTTAAAAGTATAGGATATAATTGCTGTGTTAGCCAAACCCCTAAAAGAAACAGAACGGTGTTCTCATAAATCGAGGTTCTCACTAAAGGAGTAAACAATGAGTCTACTCGCGCCAGATGGCGAGGGGAGCATACAACGAATTATAGAGGATGCATACACTTTGCACAAAATACACCAATAAGAAGAACCCAAATAATATGTCCATCAAAGCTTCAGAAACCCAGAAGTTAAATCGAAGAAAATATAAGCTACATGCACTTAGTTCTAAACTGAACTTATTACCTGCTGCAACTAATATGGCTCCTTTCAACAACATAACGAACTACTTTCTAACAACCCTCATAAAATGCGATCGTTACACTTTAAGTAAAAGCTATAACAGAACTATTTTAAAGTAAAATAACTATAAATGTTAATTAAATTAAGGCCAGCTCGTAAATCCTTTCAGCTTTTAGCCAGAAACGCCGACGGCATCCGTTTCAAGAAGCAAGAATAACAAGAACTTATTGAACGAGTGGAGCGGGATATAATTCCTTTCTTTAAACACATAAAAGATAACTGTTTTAGAGTACCTAACTATTTTGTATACAAGCGCGAAAAAAAAGGTACTGAGGAGGCGGCGTAGCTGTCATTATTAAAAAGTTACATTATACCTCAAGCACTTTACTTTGCTCTAGTAAAAGCTGTCGGCGTAAGTACATGGGCGGGTTGCAATAATTGCAATAATTACTGCCTACTAATGTCTCGACAAGGTTTTGCACTAATTGATGTTGATTATATTTCGAGCTTCCTACAACCTCTAAATGAGCGAAGATTTAGATTGTAAAAACTTTCTGTGGAATAGCAGGCGTGGGGAAACGTCAATAGAAAATAGATTTCCGAACTACATGTCGAAAAAAGACTAATAGTTATTGGTCTAATGATTCAACGCATCCTTCTGTGAAAGGGCTAAGGCTGTTTTAGACCATGTGCCAGTTTTACGTTACCAGTTTCATATATGGTAACCATTCCTCTGTATCATGTAAATTGGACGGTAGGTTCACACACTGGAAGGACGCAACATCTTAACAGTACAACCTACCGACCATACCAGATTACTGATTAAGCAAAAGCGAAATTAAAAGCAAGATATAGGACCTCTTGCACTTTTCCTAACGATAAAAAACTTTACAACCTGATAAAGAACCGCATTAGGAAGATCGAGGGCTTAGTTTAAAGTGAGCTAGCAAACGATATTAATCTTCTGAGCCTGAGGGCAACTCCCTATGAAAATTAACAAAGAGCACTGGACGGTCTCTCAGCGTTGACGCCCTCTAAACTTTTAAAGGCATTTGCCAGCAAGGCCGGAAAACTCACTCATTTAAGTTAGAACATCTTGAAAATGAACACCATCTCGATCGCGTGTCCACGTAAGTCACTGCTTACCTTTTAAGAACTTAAGAGTATGTAATAAATTTTATCTAAATATCAGAGAGGTAAAGTGATTGGCCAGTTCGTTAGTACAAGGTAGTCATGCCGGAGGGTATTTTTAATTGTGCTTAAAAACCTAACTTTGAATACAAAGCTCCCTGGTACTAAGACTGTTTAAGCAATACTTAGCACTGCCTACTTTTTAAAAAGAAGGAAGTTAGAAGTGATCTTTATTCTAACCATGTCCCTAGCCGTTTTAATATAGACTATTACCTAATAAGCTTGTTGTGCTTTTTTGAAAAGGTGGCAGAACATTCCTTCTAGGCTACAAGAATTTAGGGATAGTATGAGTTTCGCCATATTTTCAATTTGGTTTTCGGAAAATTACTATACTACCACAAAATACTCAGGCTTACGAAAAACATTAGTAAACTAACAGGGGTGGTCTTATTAGTTATTGAAAAGGCAATTAATAAAATATGACATGAAGGTCTTATTTCCAAGGTGATTACTGCTAATTTTTCTTTTTACTTAATTGCGATAGTACATTTTCCATACCTAACGTTACGGGAACTTTATGGCTAATATAAAAACATTGCAATCTGTAATTATAAATCTTGTTTACTTTTTACTATCTACATTTTAATATACCTCATTTATTAAAAATTAACCTAGCCCATAGGCTGATGACATCCGCATTATATTATAGTTTAAAATCCGGCTGCTTTTGGAGAGTATTGGAAACATGGTTTTCAACAATCAACAAATAATAAGCCCAGAAGTAGCTTTATGGTTATAATTATTACATTATTGAGGACTTTAAATACAAGTTGCTCACTAAGCCAAACTGCCATTCTTCGCAGTAAGAACGTAAAATACCTTGGGATGATAACAGCATTTTTCTTACGTAGTCATAAAGATTAATGTTATAGCCGTTTAATACTCCGCAAGGAAAGCAATAAGAATTTTGAAAAAATAATCATGTTATTAAATAAATAAACTATTTTTCCGCTGATGTTTACGCCTCTATTTCCTATGCCTATTTTTTAAGCAGGCATATATAACGACTAACAAATACCACAAAATTGCGTCCTGAGAAGAGTGGTGGATGTTTCTTAGATTTTGCGCAACTATATGTATATATGTATATAAAGAGAGAAGCACCATCAAATTTATTTGAACAAATTTTTATTTTTTTTATGGAACTGGCTATTAGGGCCAGTGTCACCATAAGCATTTGACAAGGTAGACTTTTAATTATAACTTCTGGTACCCTAGGTACTCGCAACCAGCACTAATTGAAACCTGATGGAGAAAGGGTTATGGCTAAGATTAGCTCATTGTAACTATCAAACATTTAATCAATTATTAGGTAGCTTTTGTATGTAACAAAAAGTAAGCATGGCAGTGATATCGTATTTATGATGGCTTACAGGCAGTCATTGTCTGCCCATGGACACATAGCATGGACGTGAAATGTAGTCCTCGAACTTTGACCTAATGTCTTAGGTTATTTTTTAGATGCAGTGGTTTATGTGAGAAAATTTTTTTTTTGTAAACTCCAGCAAGGTTTTACACTTATTTTTAAAAAGCATTTCAAGTTGACTTTCTTTAAAAATTATTAAGACTTTAAGGCTATAACCTTGCAACTTACTGTCGATTTTTACTAATTTAGAATAATTAGCTTGCTTCATCAAGTGTATTATGTGCCATTTGTATATGCTCGTACTTTGTTTTTAATCAATAATCACCTAGTCCTGGTGGGAAGAGCTCGTTCTTAAATTAAAAACCTCTTAATTTTTTTTAAGTAGTTATCGTTATTCTTACTAGTAATTAAGTTCGCTATTTCATGAAGTTTTTGGTAAGAGAGTTATAAATTTTTTTTTTAATTTGATGGCTCTCCGTAGTATATTGGAATTCTCCCTCACAACTCATCGCATATTCCTTAAAAGAAGGGCGTGTAAAACAACTAAGGGAATGACGAGGTTGCTGAAGCTCAACAACACCTACCTTCCACGACTAAGCGTTATACGTAATTATATGCAACTATTTATCCTGTCTTGCATAGATACAGACAACATAACTTGTGCGAGTAAGGTCACTCAGAAGTCGTTAAGAGTGTGAGTTCACTTTTGCGTGTATTTATATCAAAGAGGTTAGAAGCGTTTATTTTTACAGGCAAGCTTGCGCACAAAGGCGACTATGCAAGCCGCAACACACGCTTAAGCTCCTGGTCGCTAACTAAACGCTGACAGCATACAGAAATCCTAGAGCGCACCACGGGGCGGCCCGCTAAAAAAAAATAAGAATGGCATCAACAGACCTCGTCCGCCTCTTTACTTCCGTAAATAAACAGGTCGTCCTCTGTTTTTAATTGAAAACTTCGTTAATAGCTTACCAACTAACTAAGAAGGTACGTTGGGTCCGAAGGTTCAGGCGAGCGGCCTCGAGCTCCCTGACGTGAGACTTCTTGCAGTAGAACAAAACATAGGCATCAGCGTTATTCAAGACGGTCTCTTCGCTTACTTCGCAAACGTTCGAGTCTGTGAGAAAAAGTGCTGGGCGGCTCGGAGGTGGGTGAAGGAGGAAGGCTTACCGTTGAAGTAGTACCACTTGCCGGTGCAGAAGTTCTTGGCGTAGGAGGTGTAATGTCCACTATAAAGACTGCCATGGTGGTTAGACACTCCAAAGAGGTCGAACTCTACTGTAAAAATTATGGGAAGACTTTGAGATACCAAAGTCAGGAAGATTCCACACAGAACCTGACAGGGACGGGTCCCAATTCACGGCCTCCCCGTCGTTACTATACAACAAGTAGGTAGAAACAAGACAGTATAAGGTAGTGACGAAAAAGTATCGAACTCAGTCGAAGTGCTTCTAGGGGCCATAAACTTCTCGATGTTCAGATTGTAAAGCGGATAGCTGACCTGGAAAGGATTAAAGATTGACAAGCAAAAAAGTATAAAAACGCACTGGTATCTCAATTTTGGTTCTAAATCTCTCATTAAAACGAAATCGCTTTAATAAGAAAACGAGGACTTTGGGGGTCGACCAAAATTGCACCTGCTTGCTAATCTAGACCTTGCAAATGACCAAGCCGCAAAAATAGTACAGCACTTATAAAAGAGATACCTGCTTAAGATCTTTACAGTTGGTACAGTAAAATTTATCAGCTTCGCTTAGGACTTCCTTAATGGTAAAACGCTCGAGGGTGTCAAATATCGTCAAGCACTTGGGGGGCTAAAATGGACGTAAGTAGAACGACATAATTCTGAAAATAAAAATTATCTTCACAAGCACTCATCAAACGTGAGGGTCTTACTATTCCTTCTACCCTGATAATATATGTTAACCTCACTACTATGAGACTCGTGTGGAAGAATTGCAGATTTAAGGGTTATCGAATAGAATTCCCTCTTTTCTTCACTGGGCCACTTCGTTATTCAATTACGAGCCCAAAAACGATAATAATGTACAATTAATATAAAAAGATAACTTAAGGACTACTAAACAGCAAGCAGAATTTGAATATAAGCTGTAACAGGGCAAAGTGCATACAAGACCTCGAATGAAACACAAGCAATGGCCGGAGCGCTATAGAGACTCTCTTCGGTAGGAAGCGGACACCCCTGGCATTCTGCGAGGAAGCGGCAGCAACGCGGACAGCTGTCACGATTTCGGAAGCGAAGGGAAAAACTCTTAAAATTTAAAAACCTTTAAAAAAAATGCCATAAGAAAATCTGGTGTTATACCCCCGCAGCGACCCGAAACTCGGCGAGTTTGTCGGATTTAATGAGTCTGTCTTCAACTACAGACAAAATTAGGCCTCTAAATGTGGATGACTCAACAAGAAATAATATAAAATGCGAGGCAGAACACCTGAGCTGCAAGAACGTAATAGGGTGCCCACTGTCCCACGAGATCAGGAGAGGAAGATCAACGGGTGTACTGGTCAATCTGTATTAATAAGACACACTATTACCCCCCAGTCAAAAAAAAAAATTAAATAAAACGCGTCCCTCTTAGCATCAGCTACTCGCTGCTCTACAAATACTTTTGCAATTGCAGGGAACTGAGGCCCCCCTTGTATGGCAGGTGGCAGCCCACCGCCCTCAATAACAGGAAGAATGCTCTGAAAAAGAATGGGCTGCCGGCACAGCGGACAGCCGACAGAAGAGGGCGGCGCTTTACAGTCGACCTCACAAAACTCCCTGACATAAGACTAAAGTCCCAGAGAGTGGATGAAGATAAGTGAAGGATGAGAGCATATTCACCCGAAGACACTTGCGACAGACAAAGAGTAGGCAATTCTCATGGGTAAAGCCAGCAGCCGGGTAAAAATCGTGCTTGCAAACCTCGCAGATCAAACCGTCCCCAGAGGGAGAGACCGTCTTTTCCACGTGAGCCGTTTCATAGACAAAAATAGCCTGAAGGTAACTACTATAAGTGCCACGTAACCGAAGTTAGCTATCGTAGACAACCTCACTGTTGGCGTAGATGGAGAGGCTGAAGTGTTTCCGAAGCTTCGAAAAAAAGAGGTGGTTGTAGATCTCGGCAAAGCACAACCACTCGCTTCGCACACCAGTGAGATCGCTAGCTACCGTCTTCAGCTCAGCTACTGTTGCATGCCGCTCCACTTGTACGCCGAAGGCCAACGGCGGTCGGCTTTTCAGAAAGTAAGTGAACTGCAGTTATAAAAGGAAGAGGCGGGGAGTCGGACCTGGTGCACATAGGCACAAAGACGAAGCGAAGGAAAGTAGAGGCATTGTAGGGGACGGGCAGAGACACATACATATAAGGGTCAAACGTGACAAAAACTTTGTCACACTCCTTGCAGATTACCGTGCTTTTAAGTTGGGCTAGGGGGCCATAAGAGGAAGCACAGCGGAAATGTAAAAAAAGACCTTGAAAGAGATCCACCACAACTGACCGATTGCGCTGTAAATGACGACGCCAAGCTTCTGCAGCGGCTGTATGGTCATCAGAGTACTCACTGGAATTCACGGTTTCGACATAAGGTTTCTTAATTACAAGATTTAAATCCTCGTGCAAAGCATCAAGCAAAAAAGCGATAAACTGCATACAAAGTTACAAATTATATATTTTTATACAATAGCAAAACAAGGAAACTTCTTGCGAATCATGTTGATTAAAACCAGCAAATTGAGGTGCAAACTCTGAGATCGTTTCTTTAAATTCATAGGGAGCTATGCAAGAGTAAAGACCTTTCCACATCTACAAAAAGTCAAATAAGTTTTTTTTTATTACTTTTAGTAAGTTTAAACGAAGGAACGTGCTAAGAAGAATACATTACGGATAAGAGCGCCATACTGCTCTGCAATTTTGCCTTTCATTCCCAAGGGATTAACTTTGTTGATGTTCTAAATAAATATAAAAACCAAGAACAACTAATGTAAGTATAAATGTTACTTGAAGAAATCTGTTGGAAGTAAAATAGTAAGTTAAAAAGGGTATGTTGCTAAGGCACTGTAGTCCAGAACTCATAAAGCAGGTATTACCAAGATTCTTAAGACCACACAATCCTGGAGAAATCGAGCTCTCGCTCTAAGTATAAACTATAGCGATATGGAAACAGGAACCGGAAAATAATAGGACCTCATATAAGGTATTTCTTTTTAATCCCAAATCCCTTGGCCTGGACATCTCATATTTACGAGGACTTAAATCATTTTTAAAATCCGAAATGTGAAGGGGGGAGGAAGAGTTTGAAGAAGAGGAGTAGTTACTTAAGAGCGACGATGAATCTTGATCTAGCTCAGTTAGGATTGCGTCAAGTGGTTCTTCTAAAGGTTTTTGCAATTCACTTACTTTGACAATTTGAGAGTTGTCTAGGTCGTTTATGTCTGGCAACTCAAAAAGATCCATGTCCTCTTCGCTATTACTCATCGAATCAGTTAACTGGTTTGAAATTTGTTTACTACCGACCTCATAAGGTTGCCCATCACTGGGTTTTCCCTCGAAAAGATTATGAGACGTTACCATATTTTAAGAAATAAAATAAAAGTAGTCCTTTAATTCTGTTAATAAAACCAAAAAACTCACGGATTTTATACTCTACGATTAGTGAGAACGAGCATGACTAGTATAGGCAACGAGGAGCACGCAGCCCACTACGACTCTTGACACCCCTTCTCTCAGAACCAGGGCTCCACTCTGCAACCAGCGAGTAAACAAGACTAATTTTTTTTACTAAAAATAGCACAATCTTACTAAATTGGTAGAAAAATTTATAGAGCGGTGATCGTTTTAAGTAGAATAGTAAAATTGACCTAATTAACAATAAAATAAATTTTACTTAAATTTTTTTAATTTCAATAACATTTGCCCTCATTTAAAAACTTGACAAAATTACATTTTTTTTTCAATGAAAATAAACAATAGATTATGAGATTAAGAGATCCTATTCTTGGCTCAAAACCTCCAAATAAAGCTCATGAACTTAAAAACTTTGCATACTCATGCAGCAAACTGGAGTTTTTTTTTTAAATTTCTCTAAAGTTGTTATCCAAAGAGAAAATAATAACTTTTTACGAAGTGTTCTTGATAAGAGGGTAATGCTCAAGGGCAGTGTATAGGAATAAGTTTGGCTCGCGCCCCTGACGCCGTCTTTTCTTTTACTTTTTCTGTTGTGCAGTTGGGTTTGGTGAGCTTGAGAAGTCTACAATTATTATATAAATTTTTAGTGCTTTCAATTATTTCTACTTTCCTTTATAATATTACTTTCTTGTCTATTATATCTTTATATTATCTTATTGCCTACAATATATAAGTTTTACGGTCTTACAGCCTGTGAAATCAACAGAAGAAAAAAATCGCAAGACCACCCGAAATTAGTCTACTAAAAACTTAGAAACAACAATAATAGATAAGGTAAACTCAAGACGAAAAATAAAATAAGGAGATATAAATAGGACAATTATTAGTAAACCTTAATCATAAAAACCAATAAAGCTCAACGAGAGTTAAAGCAGGACAGTCAAGGACAAAATAAGGGTGCGCTTTCTTATAAAGAATATTGCTAAAAAAAGTAATTTATTAGCTAGTAACACGTCACTATACATACAAAATTTTCGGATTCCGCCGATTAATGAACTTCAAGAACTCAGTTAATGAGCTTTTTTGTTTTTGTTATTATTTTATTATAAAGTTTTTTGGCTTTTTCTTATAATATGAGGGATCGAGGACTGCATGTGCTTGCCCATGCACGCGCTGCTGTTTTTTATTTACTTTTTATTTTTTGTAAAGTTGGTTTGGTGGTCTTAGAGAGTCCATCATTATCATGTAAGTTTCTACTGCGCTTTAGTTCTTCATCCACATAATTATCTTACATTAAAGTTTATAGTATGCCTTATTATCATTTTATGTAACGTATTGTTTTATATCTCCTTTCGAGGGCTCTAAAGGCACTAACAACTGAGAAGGTGAGAGCAAAAGACAGAGTTAATTTCTTATTTTTATTTATTCATTTAACTATTTTTTACGGACATACTACAGTCGATATGCATAGCACATCCTTGCTGCTTAACCCTTATTCTCCTCTTAAACTATAAGAGAGGTGAAGAAGTATTCAGCCCCCCTCAAAGAGTCATCAATGTTTGCATATCAGCCCATGGGCAAGTTATAAAAAGAAAGAAGTACACAGCAACAACCAAACCAAAAAAAAAAAAAATCCGATTTTGTATTCAAGAATAATTAGAATAAAATAAGTAAATAGGATCAGTAAAAAATAATATTAATAACGAAATAATTAAAGTGATAATATATAAACATACTATAATAAGTTTTCTTATATGTACTAATTTAATTATAATAAGTCGATTAAGCATAATGAAATAATATTATATTTGTCTTCTGTCACTTTTATATAAGGACTATCTATCATTAAATAATAATAATAATATTAATAATATTAATAAAGTGTAAATTAAATTGTATTATAACTGAGTAAACGACAAAAAATTAGGGAGTTAAATCGAGGCTGAAAAGAAGCGATCTTAAGATGTGTTTAGGTCTTTCATACCTGTTATACTGGTCTGGGTTGTAACTAACAGCAATGGCTAATAAACTATTGGTATGTTCACTGTATTCTATATAGTATTTGGTCGCAACTTTAAGAAAAAAGTCTTGATTGTTTTCATTTGGCAGTCACGCTGAACTGAGCATTACGTATAAGCCAATGGAGCACCAGTAATTATTCTGAGTTTTGAAAAATCTGCAGCCTATTTATATGACGCTCAGAGCGGGCCCAACAAACGGAAGCACACAATAATTGGGCAAATATCGAATTTCTATAAAAGCAGCCTGTTTTTAAGATGAGGTTTGCTTCGCCTACATATTGCTGGGTATACTAGAACCTGACATGGTTATATCACTTAGTTAAATCTAGGGCTAAGTTGGTAGAATCCTTCTTCGTTAGCCGTTAACCTTATATACTTCAAGAGTTATATGCTTAAATTCTAATTACTGAACACGAAGTCACCAGGCGTGTTAATAATGATAGAGGTTAATAAACTAATTTAAAACTTGTTGTGTTATATCTCTTTCTACTAACCCTGTGTTAGATTCGCCTTTAACCAACAGAATAGTACCTATTACTAGTACACACAATGCGCTAGCAGTTTCATGGGACATCTTCACAATTGCTACGAGTACATTATTCTTCAATTAACTTTTGTCAATTAAAGTTTACCTTTGTTAAATGTTTAGTACGATGCTATCATACTGTTACTACTACAGTAGCATTACTGTAAACTATTATTTACTTTGTACGGGTGTACGCAACGATGTATGAAAACCATAGCACTTAACCAACTTAACTTTCGATAGTGGGCATCTTAGATACGAGGTAAAAAAGGTTATTGAATATCACACATACTAGCAACCCTCTTAGCTGTTTAACCAGTATAGGACATTCTTAGTAGCGTTGATTTTTCTCAGGACACACTCAACATGAGCATTGCGAGTTAATTTATGATCTGTAATAACTCCTAAGTACTTTAACATGAGAGCTCCATGGAATAGCAGTTTTAAATATATGTAGAGTTTGGCGCTTTTGAATATTAACCCTTCTTCTTGGAATTATCATTGCTGCACTCTTAGAAGCATTGAGCGTCATCTTTCAACTAGTAACTAATTTTCTAGAATGTACAAATAAAGTTGTAAGTGTTTAAAAGCCAGTGCCTTCGATTTAGAGCCGCAGATATTAGCCGTCTCGTCCGCATTTTAGGCTAGTGCTATGGTAGTTGATCTGGGATTTCCGCCATATAAATCGTTAATAAAAGCGGCGATAAAAATGATCCTTGAGGGACTCCGACGTTTAAATCCCCCAGATTTGAATTAACCTGCGTATATGGACTGTGAATTCTCTAAGTAACAAATTATTTTTTGACATCTGGACTAAGAGCCTAGTTAAGTTAAACTTGGCCGTCTTATAGACAAGTCCTCTGTGCCAAACTTTATCAAAGGCTTTCTCGACGTCTATAAATGCTATTGCGGTATATTTTTGATAGTTAAAGACCTTAGTAACACATCCTGAAAGTCTTAGAATCTGTTGAACTGTGGTGTTTTTCACGGAAACCAAATTAACACTCTGGAATGATGTTCTTTTCTTTCGCAAAGTTTCGCGGGTATCACAGCCTCCGCTACTTGCCGATGCGGGTTAGTAAACTTATGGGCCGATAGTCTTTTATATTTTTATTAATTTGGAAATAAAAACAACCTTCGCTAACTTCCCACGACGTGAAAACTAAGATATAGTTAACATCGAATTAAAAAGTTCGTTTGCCTAGACGATAGCCTTAGTAGTAAAATGTTTGTGCATTAGGTTGGATAAACCGCCTAGTCCCGCAGCCTTTTTGGTCTTTAACGAGTTGATTATATCAATAATTTCTTCGCAACTAGTAAAATAAAGATTTTCTAAATCAAGAATAGAGGTTACCTCATACCAAGGTCCCTCTTCTTGGGTCGTGATAAAACTCTCGGGAAACGAGGACAAATGTTGAGCAAAAACATTAGATTTATCTCCGGCAGTATATACTACGCCATTTTCATGATATATGGGTGGTATGCTTAATAACTTGCGGCAAGGGTTGAAAAACCTTTTTAATTTCCATAAAAACAAGTCCACAGGACTTGAATAATTTAGCTTTTGTTCCCAAACTTTGTTATCAAGTTTTATCAATTCCTTCTTTAATAAATTATTGACTTAATTTAATTTGTTGTAGGCTTTTGTTGTCCCTAAAAATGCCTGTCTTTTTTATATAATTTGGTTAAAGGCACGTCTCCCTTCAATCATCTGCATAATAGCAGGAGGCATTAATGACTTGAAGGATCTAGAAAGCCTAAAAGTGGAGGATTGAAACACATCGTTGTTACCCGGCTTAGATGGCGGAAAAGTTTATTTAGTAAAATTTTCATCCAGTGGTAATTGAAAAATTGACCAGTGAGTTATTTTGATAGTATTTGAGCCCTCAGGAATAAAAAAGGTCTCCCAGCTTGATATGTACTAGACTATGGCCGGAGGGCAACTCGAAAGTAGAATTAATATTTAAAGTGACGTATATAATTTTTTAAACTGCAATGCCCAATACATCAGTGCTTCCCCAAAGTGTGATCTAAGTTCAGTCATCTGGCCCTAGAATAAGGGAATTAGCTAGAGTTCCCCATTTCTATTTAGTAAACAGCAGCTGTTCCAGTGGGCGTGCTTGCAGTTGAGAGCTCCAGCCAACAAAACTGAGCTCATAATCGAAAAATATATTCTAAGTTCTTATAAATTAACTTCTTGCTTGGAAGCTTTTTAGCTGATATCACTTATACGTCGCCGTTCTTCTGTAATTTGATGCGTATCCCAACTGCTCCTAAGCTCTGAATATCGCTTATACTATAACTACGTGTGTTGGATACCTTTTTTAACTAAAATTGCTAACCCTCCTTTTTTTAAGGCCATGAGATCGCACTTATAAGTGGTATAATAAGGTATATAAAATTTATTATCTCCTTTCAAGTCCTTACGAAATGAAAGTAATATCAATTTGGTTATAAGTAACAAGTTAAAGTACTTCAAATTTTTTCTTCCT